TCCTCCTCCTCCTCCACTTCCCCCTTATCATCATCATCATCGTCATCATCATCATCATCATCAGCAACATCATTGTCATGTGGCACAGAGTCCAAGGACAAGACCATGGTCAAGACAGAGAACGGCGACAGGAGACGGAAGCGGAAGCGGAAGCGGAAGCGCAAGCCGAGTCGAGATGATCAACATCATCATAGTTCTGATCATGATTCTGATCAACATCATCGTGATCATCATTCTCTCGCAAAACGGGCAAAGGGTCTGGTCGATGACTTGGGCTACCTCTCGTCCGGATCAGACTCGGGTTGTGTCGTGGTGGTGATGGGAAGAAGGCAAGTCGGTCGTCAATGAGAAGTTCGACGAGGCCTTCGCCGTCGTCAAGATCATCACGGTCAACAAGGTCATCACGGTCATACGCAAGGCAGAGTGCTGGGACAAGAAATGCCAGAGGCAAGAATCTGGCTATCGAGAGCGAGTCCGACTCGGAGTCTGGCTCGTTGTTCTCGTCATCAGACTCCAACTCGGAATCTGGCCGACCGCCGCCGTCTTGGAGCAGGAGGACAGCGCTTTCGGCTACGGCCAGAGAGGCACTTTCGCGGGCCTCCAACGCCATGCACGAGCTCGATGAGGCCGTCATGGGTGTGGGCGAGGTGGCCATGGAGGAGACCACCGCAGACGAGGCCGTCAGGTTCGAGCTGGCGCAGGTCATCCAGCCGCCGCTCCCATCGCTGCTCTCGGCCCATGACCCCAACGTCGACCCACTCAACTATGTCCGCATTCAGCTCTTGTGGCGCGCTAGTGAGACCGAACGTGAGCTCTCGCGCTGGGTCCACATTCGGCGGACCGCACCCATGCTCGCTGTGCGGATGGAGATGGCGCTCATGGTCGAGACCGTGGCGTATGGAGTCCAGATCTTTTACCTCGGCCTCCCTGTCGACGACAATGCCACTCCCGAGTCGCTCGACATTGAGTCCGGTACCATCATTGAGGCCTACATTGACGGGCCGACCTGGACATGGGCCAAGAGAGCCCTTCTCTCGCGCAAGTCGCCGAGCACACTGCTCGTTGCCCTCTGGCCAGCATCGGCTCAGACTCCGCCAGCTGCCATAGAAGCCAAGCCGGTCCGGGCATCTGTCCTCACCACCATCGGCTCGTTGGTCAACGCCTACGCGGCGGCAGTCCAGGTCCCGGCCTCCTCGCTCGCTTTCGACTGCGGTGGTCTGTTCCTCGCAACTCACTGGCCGCTGTATCTCATCGAGCCGGCCGAGCTTGTGGCCGCCTTGGTGGCCAAGGGTATCGGCGCCGGCCGCTGGCTCAAGGGCAAGGCTCCGCGCATTGCCGTAGCCGTCACCAATGCTGCCACGCCGCGATCGTCCTTTGTGCCCATCCCCTTGGCGCCATCGCTCGCCAAGCGCGTCCGCGCTGCCACCGCCACCGCCCCGGGCCCCTCCACTGCTCTCAATCACAACGACGACGGCGACTCGATCACCGTTATCCTCCGCATGAGCAAGCGCAAAAAGGGCTACCGCATCAAGCCGAGTGACAAGATCGGCAAAGCTATGGCTCTCTTTGCCGATTTCGTCGGCGTCGCTGGCGACCAGCTCCGCTTTGTCCTTGATGGCGATCGTCTGACCGGCAACGAGCTCGTCGAAGACTTGGATCTCGAGGACATGGACATCATCGACGCCATGCCATAGTTTATCCATACACACGCAAATGTCAGCCAGGGCAAGCCTTGCCACTCTTGCCGCTTCACACCGTTTGCGCCTCCCCTGGCAGCAGCTGTCCAGCAGCCGACATCACCATCGCCATTGCAATTGGCAAGCTTTTCATCGACATCCAACTCCTCCCATCCCTTTCCTTCCCCATCTCTCCTTCACGACCCAACAACATGGTACAGTGCTGCATTGCGAGACACGAACATGCTACCTCCTGCCGCTCCATCATGTCCGTCCGCTGCGCGACGCGCGATCGCCATTTTTCCCCCTTTTGCGCGCCACCCTCCTCCCCGCGCGCAAAATCAGTGTGCCCAGTCATGTTAATCACGCCCATGCACCACGATCCACAGTGCCGCCATCAAGGTCGATGGTGACCACGTTGCGGATGGCATATGTCAGCTTGCGACGCATGATTTCCTTGGACGAGTAGCGGATCAGATCGAGCGAGTTGAAGCACGAGTGCGACGACGGCAGATGCTCGTCAGTTGCGCCCGAGGGCGACGCATTGATCTTGAACGGTTGGGTAAACGCGGCGTCCGAGACCGGGAGCCGCGTTCGGCCCCAAACGTACTTGAGGAAGAGCGCTTGTTCCTCGGTCGAGTACTCCTCAAGGATCTCAAAGAGCCACTGGACATGCTCCTGCTCCATCGAGACGCCGTCGGCAAAGACCGTGTGTCGCTTGAGCATCTCCACGTCCAGCTCCGGCCGTCCGCACACCAGCAGCTCGACTTGCTCCCATGTGAAGAGCGAGAGGACTGGCAGCGGCACAATGTCCGCCATTCCGCTGCGCATCTCGGCGAGCGCGGCGTCGTAGGCGTGGGCGTGCGCCTTCAGCACCAGCTCCACGTACTCGCCACGGTTTTCAAACGTGAGCGCCCGCTCGCGCCCGCCAGGCAACAGCTCCACCTCGGTCCCGTCCGAGAGGTGCGTGGTAAAGGTCTCAAAGAAGGTGCCGCTAAAGGTCTCGGCGGTGATGCCCTCGTCCTCGATGTGGAGCATCTTGTCCATGTTGGTCACCGTTGTCACGTCCGCCTCGGCGAGCACCTCGCGGGGCTCGACATCCTGGCCGAGCAGCGCCCGCCAGACCACCGGCGAGAGCGAGAGCGGGACGCACTGCCGCGTCCGGAGCGAGACGCCAAGCAGGCGGCCCACAAACCGGAACAACTCCGGGTGCTTGTTTCCGAGCGACGCAATCGGGACATGCATGCCCTGGTACGCGCCGACGCCGAGCTTGCCGTTGGGGCAGAGGGTGAAGAGGCCGACCTTGGGGTGTTCGAGCTCGTTCGCCATGACCGTCACAGACTCGCGCCACGGTCCACCGGCGTCTACAGAGCCCTCGCCCTTAAAGTACACCTTCCATGCTCGGTCGTTGAGCCGGATCCGTGAGACCATCTCTGGCGAGGCCAGAGCCCGCGCAAACTGCCCGTACAGCGTGTCGACCAGCGACGGATTCTCGGCCTCCATCTGCTTTGTCGCCAGGATGCGCGAGACGTGAATCGACGGCTTGTTCTCCTTCGACGCGGTCTTCTCGATGAGCATGTACAGGAACTCGACCTTCATGTTGACAAAGATGATCGACGAGAGCCCGGCCAGCCGCCCCGAGAGCGTCAGCGATCCGGCCCGGCCAGCCCGAAGGTCCACAAGCGGCAACGCTTCCTTGACCAGCGCGTTAAACAGCCGCAGAATCGGGATCCGCGCAAGCGCATCCTCGAGCTCGATGCCGTGCGGCGCACGCTCGGGTGCGGCCCACACCTCCTCCAGCATCTTACGGAGCTTGGCCGGCGCGGCGCTCCATGGCTCCTCGCTCCGGCTCTGCGCCGCAAGCTCGTTGAGCATCTGTGCCAGCGCCGCGTCGTCGCTCAGTCGCCACCCGCGCGACACAAACTGGCCTCGCATGCTCTCCACGTCGACCTTTTCGCTTATCGACGCCACGTCCTTCGACGGCGCCTCCACCGTGAACCGCACGCCCCAATCGTTGTTCGAAGAGTCAGAGTGGAAGTGTGCAAACAGCCGGTCGCCCTCCACCCGCAGCGGGCTCGACGGGAAGCTCGTCCCGGTAAACTTGGCCTCCTGGACCGGCCGCTGCTTCTCGCGATCGTGGTACAGCATGAGGTAGTCGTAGTTGTTCTCCGTCTTGCAGTTCGAGTCAAACGTCACCGTCAGGTACTCCACACCCGGGCACACAAAGCTCCACTCGGTGTCGAGGTTGTGGTCGTACGGGTGGCCTGTCTCAAACACATCGCTCGACTTGATTTCCGGGTTGTACGCAGCCTCCAGCAGCTGCGGCGAGAACGCCTCGGTCGAGCCCGACGCAAGCGCCTTGGACGCCGCGTTGAGCAGGAGTGTCCGCTCCCACCACACCGGCACCGACGAGCCGCCCGCCGAACCGCCCTCCTCTGCGGCAGGGTACGACGCCAGGTCGTACGCCCACGGCCGCGCCTCTAGGTCGTCGCCAAAGTTGAATTCAAACTGGTTGTCCGACGCCCGTAGCGTGGCCGATGCCCGGAACGGAATCGACACGTCCCAAGTCTGGATCCGGTCGCCAAGCAGGTTGCCGTTCTTGGTAAAGAAGACCACCGACGCGGCAAAGTCGACGCCAACTCCGATGACATCGCCCGTCGAGTACGACTGCCCGGTCCCGCCGCGTGTGTTGTTGCAGTACAGAGCGCCATCATCAGAGTGCATGGCCACAGTTCCGCCGCACACCCCGATCGTACGCGTGGTAAACTCGGACGACTCCGAGTTGATGAACCCAATGCCGCAGAACGAGGTGCCCGGCTGGAGCGAGACGACTCGGACCTCGTAGTATCCGACCCGGCTCCCACCGCGGGGTGCAAACTCGACGTCGGCGCTCACCACGCACCGCTCCGACGCCAGCCCGCGCGCCACCCACCCGTCGACCGCCGTGTGGGGCGTCCGCGGCTCCAGCGCGGATGGGAGGAGCGACGGCACCTCGCCGACATCGATGGCCTCCTCGTCGATGGCATCGTCGCCGCCCACGCCCTCGGCCTCGGCCTTGCCCTTGGCACCCGCTGGCGCCGCTGCAGGCAACGCCTTGACCTCCTCCCACACCAGCAGCGTCTCCACCATGTTCTGCACGTACACCGGCGCAATGGCGTCCTTGACAGAGTGGGTGGCAAACATGTGCTTCTTGAGCAGAACGTACGCCCGCGCAAAGCGCTTGTCCGGCCGCATGCCCGTGCGCAGCATCTCGCCGAGGAACTTGACGAGCGCGTTGAGAATGACCCCGCGGGTCTTGACAGACTCGCTCCGCCACAGCCACCGCAGCAAGACCTCGTGGACCTCGTCCGCCGCTCCTCCCACCGCCTCGGGATATTCAAACACCACCTGGGTGAGGATCACGATCGCTGCCGCCCGCTGCAGCTCGTCGTCCTTGGCGTCGGCCACACACAGCTTCAGCAGCGCCTGCACAAGCTCCAGCCCGGCGGCCGGGCCCGAGTCTGCCACAAGCTTGCGGACCTGCGCCAGGAACGAGGCCAGCGGCACCTTTGCCTTCTCCTTCACCAGCAGGAACTGCATCGGCTTCTGATTCTTGGCGGTGGCAAGGAGGAACCGCGCGACGGCATCAACCTCGCCGAGCGCGTCCACCGTCAGCGGCACTTGTGCCGGCCACGCCGCAACAATCTGCGAGACTAGCGCCTGCCGCGCGTAGGATGCCACCTTGCGCGCCGCCAGCACCGCAATCTCGCCCAGCGGCTCGTGCACAACGCCCGAATCCATCGTGCCCAGCGCGCCGTGGACCTTTTTGAGGAGCCCAGTCTCGGCCCCGGAGCCCTTGGCCAGGATGGACGCGTCACTCTCCTCGTCGCAGTACGTCCGCATTCCGGTGACCGGCGCGAGGAAGCTCGGCTTCCACGACGAGTCGCTACCGGAGCTCGTCACCACGCCCGAGCCGTCGGCGCTGAGGCATCCGGTCACGCCGCGGATGAGCAGTCCACGCGACTTGCCGCTTGGCGCACTCCCTTCGAATACAACGGTAAGGACAGCGCCCGCCAGTGGCGGGTCAAACGTCTTGGCCACCATCTGCGTCTCGCCCACCACACACAGCTCGATACCCTCTGACTTGCTGCTTCCGTCGCTCGCGGCAGCCGAGACCACTACGCGCTCAATGCCGTCACCCACATGGGCCACAATTGAACCAATGAGGAAGCCGGCCTGCGGCTGGTAAGTCAGCGTGATGGGCACGTTGAGCGCCACGTCGAGCTCCATGCTCGGTGTCCCGTCGCAGAGCGAGGCCATGGCCACCGAAGGCGGATTACCGTCAACAGCAACCTGGAACGCGCCGTTGATGACAGCGGTGCTCTTGCCTGACAGCAGACCTGGAACCGAGCCGTAGGCTTCAATCCGCGCGTCCGGGCCAAGTGGGCCGTCACCATCGCGGTCGTCGCGCGGAACCCGCACCACAACGGCCTCGGCGACCACGTCGTCGGCGTCGTCAGGGAGCATAGCGGCAAGCTCAGCGACCACACACCGTGCCGCGTGATCGCCAGCGGCGGTGCTGGGGTTGAGCACGCCTGACGTCCACACGCTCTTGCCAGCGGCAAAGACCTCGACCTCGACATCGACGAGCGGGCCAGTGCCGCGGACCACAATCGACGAGAGCGCCACAGGCGTGTCGAGCACCACCGCCCGTGACCACCCGCCGGCTGCTGACACTGCCGGCCGCTCCGCCGCCGCCTGGACAAGCGAAGTATCCGATGCGAGCGCCGAGATAAGGCTGGTACCGGCACTATTTCCATCGTTGCTCTCTAGAAGCAGCGCCACTGCCGTGTCGAGCGTGCCGCCAGTCTTGCGCAGCGCGCCGTAGCAGTTGTCGATGCGGAAGGCACCAAGCTCGAGCATGGCCCGCACTTGTCCAGCGTCGACCATGGCCTGGATGATGCCACGGAGCTCGTTGGCGACCATGGCCAGGACCGGAATGCCAAACTCGGCGTCGCCGAGCGTGTCTAGCGCCGCGGCAGGCTCGTGCCGTGCTGGGGCTGTGCAAATGAGAATGACGCCAACCGCGCCAAACGCCTCCATCTGCCGCACTTGAGCCACCAGGGCCTTGCGGACCGCAGCTTCCGAGACCGCACCCGACGAGTTGTTCGGATGGAGCAGGAGCACAACCTTGCCAGCCACCGGGATTGCGTCCTTGGGTGTTGGCGATGAGTCCTCCAGCAAGTATGCGTCCTTGGTCGAGCTCACAACTGCCGCAGCATCGAGCTCGATCACGCTCGTGGCCTCCGGCTCGTTGGCCATGCGACCGCACATGCGCGCCTCGCCGCGCGCCGCCACTGGTGCGTCCACCACCCGAGCCACAATAGGCGCCATGATGCCGCCAAACGCCGGCTCGGTCATCTCGCCAGAGTAGACGCGGATGTTCGAGATGAGGCCAGTCATCGAGCCAGCTGAGCCTGCAGCCGGCATGCCTACCGAGACCTGGGTAAAGGCCTCACCAGGGGCATAGATGCCCGGTTCGAGCAGCCGCGTCGCGTGTGCCATGCCGCTGATGAGGACCGCGACTGCCGTTCGCGACGCATTACCCAGCACCGACATGGTGATGATGTGTGTGGTAGCATTCGAGAGCCCCTGGTCCGGGCCGGGGAGGACGCCGAGATCGAGCACATGCGCATCGCTGGCGCCCAGAGCAATCTCAAGCGTTGCTGCGCCGCCACGTGCCTCGGAGAGGACTCCAGTCCGAACGGTGACCGGCACGCTTCCGTCCCAGGCCACGACGACCGAGCCCGGCGCGGTGTTGGCGATGGCTGCGCCATTGAGGGCAAAGACGAGGGTGAATGCATAGCCAGCATCGTCGCCGCTGACCGGAACGAGCTCGGTCGACCCTATGGCCTGCGCCGGGACAGCCGCGCCATGGACCGCCCACGGCGGCAGGCAGCGGCCCTTGCCAGACCAGAGCTCAAGCTGAAGGTCGGCAGCGTACGGCAAGTTCTCGTCCGAAAGCGGCACCTCTGTCCGGACGACCTCGGCCACAATGGGAGCGGCCAGACCGCCGGCTGGGTACTTGTGGGCATGGTCGAGCGGGGTGTCGGCGCCGACTTCGGTGGCGATGCCGTTGGCGATGCGCATGTAGGGGGCGCGGATGGTTGTCTCCCCCGCGCGACGCTCGACGCTCGGGAGGAGGCGGACGAGCGCTTCGCGCTCGTCGGCGGTGACAGTGCCGGCGTTGAGAGCGCGCCGGACGAGGGCGGGCACAAGGCCGCTGGCCACAAACTGGTCGGCAAGCACGCCGCCGGCAGCCTCGGCCACGCACTGCATCCGGACGAGCAGATCGGTGTGGACAAGCTCGAGCGCCTTGTCCTTGATGGCAAATGATGGCGCAAAGACGAGCTGCTTGACAAAGTCAAACTCAAGATCGAGCTCCTTGAGGGCGGGCGCAATCCGGTCAGCGACGCGGACGACATCAGACGGTGGGATGGTGATTTGCCGCCGCGACGAGCCCGAGCCCGCGGCGACGTGGACGGGCGCAGTGGGCGAGCGGACGTCAACGTCGAGAACAGTGACGATCTCGCCGCTGGACGTGGTAGCCTGCGCGCCCACAAAGATCGGCGGCGACGCGATGCCGCCGGCCACTGCAAGAGCACCAACGGCGGCGAGGAGCTGCTTGCCCTCAACAGGGGAGAGCGGCGCGGGATCGAGCGCGCTGGCACGCATACTGATCCACGACAGCACATCCGGCAGCGAGTCGAGTGCAGCCTTGACGCCTGACACGACCATGGCCTTCCAACCGGCGCTTGCCTGCAGAGCGCGAAGGAGTGCGACGGCAGCGTAGGCGACGTGCAGGTTGGCCTCGCGCATGGCGTGGCGCAGCGTCTCGGCGCTGTCGAGCGCCCGGGCCTCAGCCGGCACCACCCGCGGCACCGGAGCAAGAAGCAGCGAGCCAGCGAGGTGGAGAAGGGCGTCAACAAGCGGCTTGCCGCCGACAGTCAGTATGGTCTCCATCTCGACGCCGTCGGTAGACGGCAGGAGCTCGACAAGAATGTCAAAGAGGACCAGCTGGGTGGCGAGCGTCCGAGTCTCGAGGAGCATGGAGAGAACAAACTTGAGGTTGTCCGGCGAGCACGCGATGCCGCGGATGTCCTTGGCGGTCTGCGGCTCGCCAGAGAGAATGACGAACCGGAGGAGCGATGCGAGGTCAAAGACGTAGCTCGACGAGAGCTGCGCGGCCTCGGCACATGCCTCGAGCCGGACGAGGAGCACGGAAATGAGTGTCCGTGCCCGCACAATGGCGGCGTCGGTCGGCTCGGAGACGTTGGAGCGGACGACGACCTGAGCAGCAAGCGAGCAAAAGACGGCAAGGGTGGCGCGGCGGACGACGGACGAGTTCTCGTCGCCAGCCGCGATGGGGGCGAGGAACTTGAGGAGCGACGAGAAGACGCGCGCGTTCATAAGCGCGTCCTTGTCAGTGTCGCGGACGTCCATGTTGAGGATGTGAAGAATGACGAGCGCAGCGTCGGTCGACGGTGCGGCGGCAAGCTCGCGGGCAGCGGCGGCGACAACCGCAAAGTACGCATCTGAAAGCTGACTGGCGACGAGGCTGCGGACACCAAAAGTGGCGTCGCGGTACGAGCTGCCGAACGCTTCCCACATGCGCGAGAGGAGCTCGCAGAGGGTAAACGACGAGACTGAGACCGAGGTGATGAGGCGGTACATGGCGGTGAGGCCCATGGTCCGCTGGCGAGCGTTGGCCTCGTGGTGCGCCACGAGGCGGGCGAGGACGTCGGCCGAGACCTGAGTATCTCCCGCCAGGAACGACGCGACCTCGCTGTAGAGGCCCTTGTACACGTTGACCTGAGACTCCATCTCCTGAGCCGAGAGCTTGCGCTTGAGTCCGCGCATCATGGCCGAGCGCCAGAAGGTCCACGACGACATGGCGCGAGCGGCCTTGATGGCTGCCTTCCACCGCTGCTTGGCTTTGGACGGCCCAGTTGAGCCGGCCATCGGCGTTGCCACCTCCATGGTCGGCAGCATGGCGCGGGCAGCGGCGAGGAGGTGCTGCTTGACCTGCGGCTCAACGGCGGGGACGAGACCGGTCAGCAGCACAACCTTGGCGCGCAGCCTGCCGAGTGTTGTCCGCACCAATGTCGCGAGCGGAGCAAGGGTAGAGACGACTTCGGGTTCAAGCCCGAGGTCGGCGGCCGATGGCAGCGGCGAGTCAAGGGCCGCGTTGGCGGGCGCGAGGCCGACGACCGCCGGCAGGTACTCGAGCGTGGCCGACGGGAGCGGGGCGGCGAGCGGGGAGAGGGCACGGCGAAGCTCGAGGGCGACGTCAGTGGCGGAGCGGAAGGCGTGAATGACTGCTGATGTCGGCGATGCGTTTGAGCCGACAGCCAAAATGGGCTTGGGCCGCTTCTTGGCCTTGGCGGCCTTGGCAGCGTCGCCCGCGTCTCCACTTGCGTCTGACGCCGGCGACGAGCCGAGCGAGCCGCGATGAAAGTCGAGGAACTCGCCGAGCGAGCGCGAGTGGTAGAGGTGTGCGACGAGCGCAAGGTTAAGGGCGGTGAGGACGTAAGGACCCATGATGGTGTCACGAGCATTGCCGGTCAGCTGGAGCTCTTGCGGCGGCGATAGCGAAGCCAGTAGTGAGTCCATGGCCTTGGCCCACGGGTTGTCAGCGTTGTCGACAACGTCGGGCTCCAGGGCGGCGGTAACAAGGGCCTGCTCGGCCGGGCGAGTTCGATGGTCTCGAGGCCATCGCTTTGGCCGTTGGCAAAGAGCGAGGTACTGAGCCACTTGGTGTGGTTGCTCACGACGTCGGTGCCCAGGTCGGAGGGATAGACGCCTGGGGCGAGGAGCTCGGTGCAGGTAGCGACGTAGACCGACGAGAGCATGTTCTGCAGCGAGACAATCCACGGGACGGAGAGCGCCGGCTCGACGTAGGCGAGCACGCCCCATTCGACGTTGGAGCCATCCGAGTGGAACTTGATGTGGACGTCGGGCCCGGAACCGAGATGGGCTTGGACCAAGAGTCGGTGCCAGACATGCGGTGCTCGACCGAGTCCGAGCCGGTGATGGCAATGTAGTCGTGGGTCCGCTCCGTCCGACACTGTGGGTCGAAACGGACGGTGATGGAGAGCGAGCCTGGGAAGGAGAACGACCACGAGAGGTTGAGGTTGTTGGTGTACGGGTGCGGCGTTTCGATGGTCTCACACTGGGCGGCGCCGATGTCAAAGGCCGGAAGTGCGGCGAGCGCGCGCTCCATAGCGAGGGTGGCGGCGACGAGGGCGTCGGCAAAGACACGCGAGACGCTGGCGTCAGCGGCGGCGCTGTGAACGTCGATCAGGACGACCGGGACGAGGGTGCCAAACAGCCGCTCAAAGGCGGTGCAGAGCGTGTCGCGGTAGCCGGTCTTGATCGCGACCGGTGCATCATCCCATCCGGCTGGGAGCACGGCAAGGTCCTCGAGAACCGTGGCGGTGCGGGTGAGGAGGTGGACGCCGTAGCTGCGGCGGAGGCTGGCGAGGGCAGGCTCATCCGAGGCGCGGACGACAGCCTGCACTTCTTTGAGAAAAACAACCAGCGGCGAGGGGGCGTCAAAGGCGGCAGCGACCTTAGCGAGAGCGTCGGGTGTGGCGTCGGCGAGGTTGCTCGGCAGCACTGAGGCGAGGCTGGCAGACGCGGCGGCAGCGGTCTCGTCCACGATAGCCTCAAGGAGCTGAGAGGCGACGGCGACGTTGTCGGGCTTTGCGAGGGCGGTGACCAGCGGGTCCTTGGCGTGGCGGAGAAGCGCATCGAGGAGCATGTGCCGACCGGCAGTGAGGCCGTCTTTGGCCTGGAGAAGGGCGGCAAAGAGGGTGATGCGCGCCGATTCGGAGGGAATGAGAACGGTGTAGCCCGAGGCGAGCATGCCGACGGTGGTGGCCTTGACAAAGGCGAGCGCGTTTGAGTCACCGACCTCCATGTCGAGAAGCGCGTAGCAGATGTCCATGAATGAAGCCGCAAGCTCGTCGGTCATACCGTAGAGGCCAGCGGATGCGTCAAAGAGCGCGAGCTGGGCGAGGTTAGCGTGGAGCATGTGCATGCAGACGACAAGCTGGTAGACGGCGATCGGGGTGGCATCAGCCGGATCGGCAAGTACCGGGTTGGCTGCCGAGGCCACCAGCTCATAGAGAGTGGTAAAGGTCGACGAGACGAGGTCCCACACAAACGGCGAAGACGGCTTGAAGACGGTGAGCTCGGCGACAGTCGGAAAGCGCGGAAGCGAGCGGGCGGCGACGTAGTTGTCCATCAGCACAAAGAGGAGCGGAACAAGCTCGGCGACGGTGAGCGAGTCGTCGGTAGCCCCGCTCGCGAGCCTGTCGAGAATGGAAGTGCGGACGGTGGCAACAAACGGGTCCGAGACGGCGTTGGCGCCATCAGGACGATCGTAGCCTGGGTTAGGGAACGCGAGCATCTTCTTTCCACCGTCGACGCACCAGAGCAGGTTGTTGACGACGTCGTAGGCGCGAAGCGAGTAACGGAAGCCGCGGTTGGTCGACTCGCGAGTGTCCATCTCGGCCGAGAGGCCGTCGGGCAGTTGGAGCTGCTCGGCGGCAGGCACGGCGTCGGAGGCAGCGGACGGCTCGCGCGGAATGCGGAAGCGTGCGAGGCGGGCCGGGCTGGTGTCGGAGAGGCACATGTGAACAAGCTCGATGCCGTTGGTGTAGATGCCAAAGACGTGGGTTGCGGGCGGCGGTGGAAAGTCGGCGGTGTACTTGACGACGAAAGTGGGAAGGACCGGGCCGGCAAACTCGAACCAGGCGGCGCCGTCGGCTCGGCGCGGGATGACCTTGACTACCTGCAGGCCGGAAAAGGCAGAGGCAAGCGGTGGGGTGCCGCTATCAGCTGCGGCCGGGACAACAGACTCGTAAAAGTAGAGGGCGAGGCCGTCGGAGGCTGGGCGATTGCGAAGCGGGAGACGGAGGAAGCGCGAGGTGTCGGGAACAAGCTGGGCGGCGGCGTCTGCGGGAGCGCCTTCGGGCGAACCTCGTTGACAGCCCAAAGCGCGGTGTCACCCGAGGTGGATGCAGCCGGGTAGAAGTTCTCGGCTTCGAGGGTGGCCTTGGAGACCCAGGTGATGATGACGACCGGCTCAAAGGTGAGAAGCAGGATGTGATCGGGCTCAGAGGCAAAGGCAAAGACCATGGCGCGGCTGAGGTTACCCTGTACCCCGGGAGGCCGGACGCGGGGATCGAGAACCGAGTCGTAGACGTAGCCGGCCTCGGTGAGGTTGATGCCGGTTCCAATTTTGGAGAGGTAGGAGGAGTCAGCGAGAGTGCCAAAGGCGTAGATATGGCTCCCGTCCGAGGCGTACGACGCGACAGGGATCTCGGGCCGCGAGCCCCAGTCGATGACAAAGTCTGCAACCGAGTTCTGGTCAGGGGCATGCATGGCGAGCTGGGCCGAGACGGTGGTTGACGATGAAGCCCACTCGGCGAGCTGCGCACGGAGCGGGAGCGAGGTGTCCGGCGGAAGGGCGAGGAGGGTGGGCAGGAGCTTGACAATGTCGAGTTGCGAGCCTCGAGCAATGGCCATTGAGAGCATCATCTTGACCAGCGACGCAGCGCTGCCGGAGCCGCCTGATTCGGAGAGAAGCTCGATGAGGTACGACTGGAACTCTGCGAGTGAGGTCGAGATGAGCGGTGAGACGTCCGAGAGCGAACCCGGCGGCGAGGCGTTGAGCAGCGAGTCAAAGATGCCGAGGACCGAGGCGGTGAGGCCCGGATCGGACTTTGACTGCGACTTGAGGAGGGCAACAACAGTCTTGACCATGGCACCGACGGCGAGCGACTCGTGCGAGTCACCGGCGGCGACAGGCGCCGAGGCGCGCTGCACGGTGCCGCTCACCACGCACTTGAAGCCCCAGTCGTTGCGCGAGCCGTCCGAGTGAAAGTGAAAGTACACCCGGTCACCCGGCACGACGATCGGCCCGGACGGCCAGTTGGACGACGGTCCGGTCAAGCGCTCGCCGATCTGTCCGATGCGGCCAGGCGCGGAGTAGAGCTGGAGCCAATCGCACCCGTTCTCGGTGACGCACGCCGGATCAAAGAGCAGCGTCAGTTCGGAAGCGCCTGGGACCGAAGCTTCATAATCAACGTCCATGTTGTCGGAATAGTTATGAGGTGTCTCGACGATGACCTCAACAACTTCACCGGGGCGAGTTGTCGGCTTTGACTTCTTCTCCACATTCTCCATCTGGGCGGCCACCTGCTGCCGCCTAGCCATTGCTGCCTTGTCCAGCAACTTTGCCATGGCATGATGGGCGGCTTCCCGCAGCGATGGTGATGCTGTCCGTGCCCAATCTTCCGCCTCGAGTGCTCGGACGACTTGATCAGGGCTCTGTGACTCGAGGGAGGTAGGGAGCGGGGAGAGGGGGAGGAAAAAGAAAGACACGCACACGCCATGACAGCCACCGCAAGTTGTTTTCCGCACGACAGAAGGTATTGACCAGAGCCATGGAAATGGAAAACCATGTATTTCCATACAACGATGTTCAGGGTTATGGGAGGGGAGGGAATGGTGAGTTGCTCGTGGTGGCAGGGGGGGGGGGGGGGAAGGGGAGGGGGAGAGGGTGGCAGTGGCGCGGGGGAAAAAGGGGGCGGCGGCGGGAGGAACAAGAAGGGTGACGGGGAGGAGGACGGGGTGAGGGGTGTGGGGGGTGTGGGGGGGTGGTGGTGGTGGTGGGGGGAAAGGGGCGTACCATAGATGACACGTAGTTGTTATCAAACATGTTTGCAAGGATGGGGGGCGCCGTGGTGGTGGCGCCACTCGACTCGGTGTTGCCCATGGTGGCAGGCGTAGGAGGAGTGTGTGTGTGTGTGACTGGCGTGGGTTAGCGCATGTGAAAGGATCATAAGGATGATGATGAGGAACTGCGATATTGAATGTGTGCTACAAGTACTTTCTTTTCCTGCGTCAGTGTCAGCCAATCAATTCCCCCATAGTACAATGGCTAGTATATGAGCTTCTCACGTTCAAGATCAGAGTTCGATTCTCTGTGGGGGAGTTAACTTTTTTTTTGTCCAGCTCGCGACCCTGCCTTTGCAGGAAGGAATGCAGATCAAGTGGACGGTGTGATGGGAGGAGAGAAAGAAACAATGATAGATGTGCGATTGCCGTTGAATGTAAAGGGCGGTGATGGGATGGTAGTGGAGATGGCGTTGGATAGGACGCGCTGTGCACCGGTCGTGGGGCACCAGCGGTGTCTGGGATGAGAGTAAGGCAATAGACAATACTATACAAATGAGTAATTGGTTCGCCGCTGTATTCAGCCAATCAATTCCCCCATAGTACAATGGCTAGTATATGAGCTTCTCACGTTCAAGATCAGAGTTCGATTCTCTGTGGGGGAGTTACCTTTTTTTTGTCCAGCTCACAACCCTGCCTTTGCAGGAAGGAATGCAGATCAAGTGGATGGAGCGGTCGACTTGGAGAAGTAACGGCTTCAATTCGTTGCTGCTGCAAACTAGATCTCGTCGTAGGCGGCGGTGCCGGTGTCGTCGTCGACAAACTCGGCGAGGCGGACACCCAGAGCCTCGAGCCAGGCCCCGACTTCGCCGAGGAGCTCGGCCTCAACAGCAACCTTTGTGTCAAGCATCGGGTCTGGCGACCCGGAAGCAGCGGCAGCGGCAGCGGCGTCGGCGTCAGCGGCCCAAGTCGACCAGACAGCGTCGAGGCAAGATGCAGCCTTGACCCATTCGGACTGGACGCGGGCCAGAGAGAAGGAGGGGACGGCGGCAAGATCCATCTCGCCGAGGCCGTGCGAGGTCAGCTTTGCGGAGCGGATGGCCGAGGTGGCGGCGTCACGGGCAGCCTGTGCCTCAGACTCTTCTCGGAGAATGCGCTTGATGTGCTCGGCAGCAACGTGGAGGAGATGGTCAACCTCGAGGAGGGCAGGCGAGCCCGGTGGAGCGGCGCGACGCAGCTGCTCGAGGGCGGCGATGCGAGCACGCTCGTGGTCGATGAGCGCGTCGGGCGCAGTGCCAACCCCCGCGGTGGAGGCAAGGTCGGCCAGGGCGATGGCGGCCGAGAGAAGGGCGAGCCACTGGTCGCGCTCGCCGGACGAGGCGGTGTAAAAGTTGAGGCTCCGGGCGCCCGAGGGCGGAGCAAAGACAAAGCCGCGATCGTCGTCGGAGCGGGCGCCGGTCGGGGCGACGCGGGCACCGGCGAGCTTGTACGCGCCCTGGACCTCAAAGCCGGCCTTGAAGAGGCCCTTGGGCATGGCCCAGAGCAGCAGGTCGTTGAAGAGAAAGAGTGTGGCCGACTTGCGCTTCTTCCCGGCGCGGACCCAGAGGCCGCCGTCGGTGACAAAGAAGCGGCCACGGGCGAGGAGTTCTTCGGCGTCAAAGTGCGGGCCGGGCTCGATGGCCTCAAGTACTTTGCGTGTGACGAGGCGGTTGTCCTTGAGGCGTTTGGACTCGTTGAGCGAGTCGGCAACGGCCTTGATGGCGGCGAGGCCGGCGCGGAGTGGAGTGTAGGCGGCCGAGTCGCGCGGGGTGAGGAGTACAAGATCCTTGAGTAGGAGCTCATAGCGCGGGATGCGCTGGACAGGCATGATGTGGAGGTCGAAGAGGTCAAGGCCGTGGAGGGCCGAGGCGTACTGGGCCGAGCGCGAGGCGAGAAACTGCTTGAGCGGATTCTTCTTCTTGAGTTTGGAAAGGAGCGCAACCGACTCGTCGTTGGCGTAAACGTACGGCTTGTAGGCAGCCTCGAGCGCCGGAGCGAGACGGACAAAGACGTCGCCGAGCTCGCCAATGGCGACAGGGCCACCAGCGAGCACCCGCTCTACCTCGGCCATCAACCGCGACGAGACGCGAAGCACGTCCTCGATCGAGGTGAACGTGGCCGGCACGTCCTTGTCGCGGAGGACCGAGGCGACGGCCGGACGGGTGAAGAGCTCGACCATCGACTTGATGGCCTTGACATAGGAGCGCTCCGAGGTGAGGACCTCACGGGCGACCTTGGTTCGCCTGCGGATCCGCTTGAGCAGCGGGCGCGTCACCTTCCGCACGGCGTAGCCGCGCCAGACCGACTGGATGACGACGGCGCGGGCGGCGATCTGCTCCCAGACAGGCGGGTCGAGCTCGCCGGGGACATTCTCGCAGAGCGACTCGTCGAGGTCGAGCGACTCGTCTGCAAACTCGGCGCCGGCATCATCGGCAGCAGCGGCGGCCGAGGCAGCAGCAGCAGCAGCAGCGGCGAGGCGGGCGCGGGCTGCGCGGCGTTCATCCTCTGCAGCAGCGGCAGCGGCTTTGGCGGCGGCGACGGCCTGCGAGCGATGGCGGGCAAAGTCGAGCGAGCGCGAGTTGGCGTTGGCACGAGCTTTGGCGAGGCGCGCGCGGCGCGAGGCGGCGGCTTTGGCGGCGGCGCGCTTGGAGCGCAGGATGGGGTTCTGAGCCGACGAGCCGCGCTCGCGAAGCTTGGCCTGCCACTCAAGGTAGATGCGGAGGTTCATGGCACGGATGGCGGCAACAGACTCGGGCGATGAGCCCGAGAGCATGTCTTCCAGTTCGGGGGTGAGCGAGTCGAGAGCAAGGCCGAGATTGACGAGGATAGCTGGGTCCGGGTACTCTGCGGCAACTCGGTCAGCGGCGAGGAGGCAAAGGTGTGACGGAGGTAGCGCGGACCCGAGGCCGGCTGGCGGGCGGCGAGCGAGTCAAGGAGCGAGAGCTCGAGCCTGCGGCGACGCGAAAGCTTGCGCTGCTCAACGCGGACGGCAGCAAGCGCGTCGCGCTCGGCCTCGAGCTCGTTCCACTCCCAGACGCGGAGCGCTGCAAGCGAGACGCCGCGCTTGACACTTGGGTTCTTCACGCTTTTGGCGAGGAGTGAGGCGTAGAAGGAGGCGTTGCGCGGCTCGGCGTCGCGGCTGGACCTTGCCTTCTTTGAACGCGATGAGCGGCCGCCGGATTTCCGGAGGCGGGCGAGTGTGTGCTTGGCGATGAGCGCCTGTTGCTTGGAGACAGTCGAGTGGAGGTTGGCATCGCGGGCGGCAAGTTGCGAGACAGTTGTTGTCGAGGTAGCCAGGTTGTTGCGACGGGTGGCGAGGCGCTCGAGGAGCAGCCGCTTCTGGAGACGACGGACGGTTCGGGCGTGGTTCGACCGGGTGGCGGCGGCTTTGCTCGCCCGGGAGGCACGGCGGTGGGCAAGGAGCCGCTGGGTGTATGGCCCTGGGCCAGTCGATGCATCACTGTCATCTGCGTCGGTATCGTACAGCCGCGGCGCGGTGGACGACGACAGAGAGGCCTCACCCCACGCCGGATCGACGAGCTCATTCCAGGCTGGGCTGGCTTCACGGACTGGGTCTGGCGAGTACGAGGCCGAGCTCGACGATGACGTCGACGCGGCAGTCGAGGCTGAGGATGACGCCGGCTCGGGTGAGGGGGTGCGTGGGGCTGGAGCTGGCGGCGACAGTGGCTGAACCTGAGAAGGCTCTGAGGGCGTGGCATGAGCGGATGGAGCTGTGGGAGCTGTGGAAGCTGCGGGAGCTGCGGACTCATCGAGCTCGTCGGCAAAGTCAAAATCGAGATCGAGGTCAATGTACTCGGGAACGTCAAACTCACGGGTGTCGTCCAGAACAACACGGGTGTCGTCGAGACGGGTGTCGTCGAGACGGGTTTCGTTGAGGCGAGTGTCGTCCAGGCGAGTGTCGTCGAGAGCCGACTCGAGATGAACGGTGAGATCGGCAAGGTCCGAGGCAAAGTCTGGAGGTGCGAGGGCGGCAGCAGCAGCGGCAGCAGGAGGGGGAGAGCGTGCAGGCGAGGACGCGTATGCGGCACGGGCGGATGAGGATGTGGAGGCGGGAGGGGCGACGACATGGGCGCGGAGTCTCGCCTCGGCCCTACGGGCGGCAGCGGCGGCTTCAGCTTTTGCAGAAGTTTCAGCTTCAGCCTTGGCCTGTGCAGCGGCCTCGGCCTCGGCGTCAGCCTTTGCCTTAGTAGCAGCCTCTGCCTCTGCCTTTGCCTTGGCAGCAGCCTCTGCCTCGGCCTCAACCATAGCAGCAGCCTCGGCCTCGGCCTCAGCCATAGCAGCAGCCTCGGCCTCGGCCTTCGCCTTAGCAGCAGCCTCGGCCTCGGCCTCAGCCTTAGCAGCAGCCTCGGCCTCGGCCTCAGCCTTAGCAGCAGCCTCGGCCGCAGCCTTCGCCTTAGCAGCAGTCTCTGCCTCGGCCTTTGCCTTAGCAGCAGCCTCGGCCTCAGCCTTTGCCTCGGCAGCAGCCTCGGCCTCTGCCTTTGCCTCGGCAGCAGCCTCGGCCTCGGCCTCAGCCTTAGCAGCAGCCTCGGCATCAGCCTTCGCCTTGACAGCAGCCTCGGCCTCGGCCTCAGCCATAGCAGCAGCCTCGGCATCAGCCTTCGCCTTGACAGCAGCCTCGGCCTCAGCCTCAGCCTTAACAGCAGCCTCGGCATCAGCCTTCGCCTTGACAGCAGCCTCGGCCTCGGCCTCAGCCATAGCAGCAGCCTCGGCATCAGCCTTCGCCTTGACAGCAGCCTCGGCCTCAGCCTCAGCCTTAACAGCAGCCTCGGCCTCGGCCTTCGCCTTGGCAGCAGCCTCGGCCTCAGCCTTGACAGCAGCCTCGGCCTCGGCCTTGACGTTAGCAGCAGCCTCGGCATCAGCCTTCGCTTTAGCAGCAGCCTCGGCCTCAGCTTTCGCCTTAGCAGCAGCCTCGGCCTCAGCCTCAGCCTTAGCAGCAGCCTCGGCCTCAGCCTTTGCCTTAGCAGCAGCCTCGGCCTCAGCTTTCGCCTTAGCAGCAGCCTCGGCCTCAGCTTTCGCCTTAGCAGCAACCTGGGCCTCGGCCTTCGCCTTAGCAGCAGCCTCGGCCTCAGCCTCAGCCTTAGCAGCAGCCTCGGCCTCAGCCTTCGCCTTGGCAGCAGCCTCGGCCTCGGCCTCAGCCTTAGCAGCAGTCTCGGCCTCAGCCTTCGCCTTGGCAGCAGCCTCGGCCTCGGCCTCAGCCTTAGCAGCAGCCTCGGCCTCAGCCTTCGCCTTAGCAGCAGCCTCGGCCTCAGCCTCAGCCTTAGCAGCAGCCTCGGCCTCAGCCTTGGCAGCAGCCTCGGCCTCGGCCTTTGCCTTGGCAGCAGCCTCTGCCTCGGCCTTTGCCTTGACAGCAGCCTCTGCCTCAGCCTTTGCCTTGACAACAGCCTCTGCCTCTGCCTTCGCCTTGGCAGCAGCCTCTGCCTCAGCTTTCGCCTTGGCAGCAGCCTCGGCCTCGGCCTTCGCTTTAGCAGCAGCCTCGGCCTCATCTTTCGCCTTGGCAGCAGCCTCGGCCTCGGCCTTCACCTTCGCCTCGGCCGCAGCCTCAGCCTTCGCCTTGGCAGCAGCCTCGGCCTCGGCCTCAGCCTTAGCAGCAGCCTCAGCTTTAGCTAGCAATGCATCCACAGAGGCCAGACCGTCGTCCTCGTCCTCGTCACTATCCGCCAGCAGGTGCGCGACAGCAGCATGATCACTCCCAGCAACCCAATCATCGGAATCATCGTCATCCAGCACGGCAAAAGCCATCCGGTGCACTGTCGACGTGTCCCCACCACCAGACTCGGACATAAGGAGACCACTGAGTCCTGTATCGTTGAGCGAGAGCGCATCCAGTGCGTCACCCAACCCGTCATCGTCGCCATCGTCCGAGTCCATCGCATCCAGCTCAGCCGCCACACTCGCCAACCCGCTAATTCCATCGTTTTTCTTACCACTGGCCCGTTCTTCACCCGTATCCGGCGAGAGTGAGAGCGAGAGTGAGAGCGAGTCATCAGCAGCCTGCGCAAGCTCATCTGAAGTCACCTCTAGATCGTCATCGCCGCCGACCGAGCCGGCAGAAGCGTCCGAGTCGGACGACGCCGACGAAGACGACGACGACGACGCGAGCAGGTCGCTGTCGTCATGCGCAAGCAGCTGCGTCAGCGACGCCATGTCTCCTCGTCCGCTGAGACAGGTGTTGACCTCCAGCCCCTGGTCATGGACACGGAGAAGGAGGCGGACTCGGACGCGGGCTCGGCGTCGGTCTCGGGTTTGGGCTCGACTCGTGGCGCCACACGCGTGTGTTGGGCAGCCGTTGGTTAACGACGAATGGGCATCCAATGTGATATTGAAATAAGCAGTACTCGTCGATCACTTTCAGCCAATTAATTCCCCCATAGTACAATGGCTAGTATATGAGCTTCTCACGTTCAAGATCAGAGTTCGATTCTCTGTGGGGGAGTTGCCTTTTTTTTTGCCCAGCTCGCGACCCTGCACCACCATCGCGCGATCTGCCGTGCACATCATGCTCATAATGGTTCCTTCAAGCCTGGTTTAGTGGCACACGAGCATGTCTACACGTCTACAGCGACGTACTCGAAGAAAAGCATTTTGACGACGACCATGACGCCGGCGTGGGCGAGAACAACGAGGCCGACCACCCACCATGGCGACGCGACGGCGCGCGAGATGAGTGGGACGAGGTTGCGGACGAGGAAGCCAGCAGAGACGAGGAAGGCGAGGCCGACGGCAGACCAGCGGATGATCTCATGCGGGATGATGCACGCCATTGCGGCCGGAACGAGTGGAGCCGAGGCGTAGCCATAGAGCGAGTAGGCCGACGACGGAGCGAGCGGCACGTCGTACCAGTAGGCAAGCCCGGCGAGGACGGTAGGCGCCAGGCCAACATAGCCAGAGATGACCGAAAGGGCCAGCAGCATGTGATGAAAGTTGTACGACCAACTGGCACCTGAGCTCTGCGCCGCCACGTAGGCAGCAAAGTTGGAGGTGACGGCAATGGTAAAGATGAGGGTGGCCGGAATCCACATCGTAGCATAGAGATCGCCAAGCGGTGGATGAGGAGCAATAGGCAGAAAGGCGAGACCAAGTCTCCGAGCAAACTCCACCGAGGAGACATCAAAGTACCTTGCGTAGTACTTGATCTGATACGGAGCGTAATTGCCCTCATCCAGGCCACCACCATCCCCACCAGTGCTACCACCAACAGCAGCAGTAGCAGCAGCATGTGATGTAGAAGCTTGAGCAATAGAGGTGGAGGTATGGCCAAGATCAACATCATCATCAAACTCCAGCAAGAGCAAACTCTCAGGACTTGTTCCATCTCCACCATCTCTACCATCCATCATGTCATCGTCGAACACCAGCTCCAACTCGCCCATGCCACCCGCAGCTGTTCCTGCCCCTGCCCCTGCTCCTGCCCCAGCTCCAGCTCCAGCTCCAGCCCCTGTCCCGGTCCCTTCCTCTTCGCTGCTGGCAAACGGATTGGCAAGCCTTGCTTCTTCCTCTGTCTCTGCAAATGGGTTGTCGCTGGGGAGACTCATGGTCGCGAGGAGTGTGTGGTGTGTGAGGCGTGGCGGTGCCGTGTTGGGTGGCGGGCGGCGGGCGGCGGGCGGCGGGCGGCGGGCGGCGGGCGGCGGGCGGCGGGCGGCGGGCGGGACGGTCAGACTCGAGGCGATCATGTTGTCATCGGCGAGATCATATGGCTGTGTGTGATGTTTGCTGTGTCGTGGGTGGGCGATGATCGGCGGAATTCAGTATCTGGCGGGTAGCGATTGGCGAGTGGCGGGCGTTGCGGTGGGTGCGGGGCGATCGAGACACTGACGGTGCCCAGTGACCAGGGATCAAACTCATATGATTGTATGTAATGTGTACGTGGCGTGTGTGATGCGCTCAGCGGGAGCTATCACTTTGTCGCATCCAACGAGTCCGATCGGATCGCCCCGGGCCAGACGGCGAAGCAAGCCACCACACCTGACTCACGCCAGCGACCATGTCAGCTGAAGCACAGGACAGAAGCCTCTACATCCCATCGGAAGTACGTTGCTACCTACTTGTCTACCACTTTGGCCATCCCCCCCCTCCATGCTATCTGGTCCCAACTGTTACCCATGCCCGTTGTCCTCGGGTCATACTTACTCTCCTCACTGACATCTGTGCTCGGTCATTGTTCGTTGGAATCCTTCCATTTATCGTGCCGTCTCGCTCTGTCCATCGTCTTCTCATCTCCTCATCGATCTCATGTCGATTGCGTGCTCTCGTCGTCAATCGCATTGTCATTTCCATCATACACACACGCGCGCATGTGTGTGTGCATGTATGTGTGCAAATACATGTGTGTGTGTGTATGTGCTTGCCCTGCCAACTACTGGGTGTTGCCCTCGCTTCAACTGCCCTCGGATCACCACTGGCACAGGATCCGGACCACGGTCGCCGCTTTGGCATTTACTGGGACTATGAGAATGCCCACATCCCCTCGGGCGCCGACATTGGTAACATCTTTGTCCGCATGCGCGCAGAGGTGGAGCGCCACGACGGCCGCATCTCCTGCTTCAAGTGCTTCAACGCACCCGAGTCGCACCGGGTGCGGATGCAGGATCTGTCCATCGAGTGCATCAACGCATCCAAGAAGAACCGCAAGGAGGCTGCAGACCACCGCCTCGTGGTTGACATGTTCCGATTTGCGCTCGAGAACCCCAACACTCACCTCACCTTTGTCCTCATCTCGGGCGACTCGGACTTTGCCTACCCGCTGGCCACGCTGCGCAACTACAGCCACCGCATCTGGGTCTTTCACCCCAAGCAGGCGTCCAAGGCACTCCGCGATCACGCACATCTTGTTCGCCCCTGGAAACCCTTTTGCACCGCCGTCCGAACCAAAACCACCCTCATTACCCCGCGCCAGAGCTCCTCGTCCGCACCGGCGTTTGCAGGAGTCCAGTCCACCGCTCTCCTCCGCCCTGGTCTGATCGGCTCACCCGCGACCTCCCCGCCAGCCTCGGCCTCGACGTCGGCCTCGATCCCGACCTTGCTCAGCAGCACTGCTGCCGCTGACGCCGCTGCCGCCGATGATGGCAACGTTGTTGACGATGTCGACGACGCTGACGACGCTGACGACGACGACGACAACGATGATGATGACAACATCGATGTTGACTCGGAGGCCTCGGCGGGCACCGTCGCCTCGTCGATGCTAGCCACTCACGCCATCGAGGCCCTGATGGAGATCTTCGAGGAGCATGTCGACGACGACGGCTCGATGCTCCGCTCCACACTCGGCATCAAGCTCCAGGAAAAGTACCCGTCACTGGTCCAGCGCCGCGGCGATGCACGGACACTCATCAAGCGAGCCATGGACCTTGGCCTCCTCGTCCCGAATCCGCTCTCGCAGCACTCGCTCTGTCACCCGTCGTCGCCCATCGTCGTTGGGACCGACTCGCCGCTCCCGGGCGATGAGGCAATCGACTCGGAGACTCTTGCCATTCTCCTCATCGAGGCTTCGCGCGAACACGACGAGACTGGCAAACTCAAGTTCTCGCTCGGCAGCCTCAAGAAGCGGCTCAAGGCGTACAATCACGAACTCGTCGCAAAGTCCAAGATCTCTGAGGCTCTGAACAAAGCCAAGTCGCTTGGCTACATCAACGTCATCAAAGAGCCGGTCAACCGCACTCCTCGCTCCGGACAGAGCAAGAAGAGCATGCAGACGATGGTCGTTCTCGAGGCGCAAGGTCTGCGCCTCGCCAGCTCCCTCGCGGCCCAGTTTGAGTAGACTCCCCCCCCCCCCCCCTCTCAGGCATCATCTCGCCTTCTCCATAAATTTTTTCCGCCCCCACCCCCCGCCCCCCACCCCCACCCCCACCTGGCGCGAACACGGGCGCGAGCGACCTGGCGGGGAGGCCTTGGACCCAGACGAAGTCCACCTGTCACCGTACGGTAGCAGTAGCCGACCCTCCGTGGTCACCCAACCAAACCTTAGACCATCCCCGCCATGAGCGACTGGCCAACTGAGCCGTCTAATGTACGTACCTTCTCCCATGCCCATCCCCCTACTAGGGGGGCAACAAGGATAGCCAAGGAAAGTGCCGCCGGGGCAAAGACCTTCAAGTCGCTCAAGAACCGCCCCCCTCCCCCCCCTCCCCCCCCCCCCCCCCCCCCTCCCCCATTCCCACCATCCCCTCTATTCCGTCCTTCCTTCCTCTCGTCCTCTTCATCATCCACCATTGTGTATGGTGTGGTCTTGTTGGTGATGGGTGTGGAGGTGGGGGCGGAGGGTGAAAGGGCGCGAGAGGACGACTCGCGAACACCGGCATGAGGAAGGAGAAGGGGAAGAAGGGCAAGGGGGGGGGGGGGGGGGATACTCACCGACCGACCGACCGACCCACACGTACACATACATATGTGTGTACTCTATGTCTATGTCTATGTCTATGTCTATGTCTATGGGTTATGGTGCATCCCCCCCCCCCCCCCCCCCCTCATCATCATGGGTATACTCATTACCTCACCTCAACCACATACACATAAGCAGGGCTTCCCACCCCTCTTCGGTGGTATGTCTCCCTTTACACCCTCGCCATCGCCGCCGGTCATGGCCGGACGCCGGGGAGTGACCACGTCGCCGAGTGCTGACCTTCCGCTCGGCTTTGAGCCGTTCCTCTCCTCGCCACCTCCGCACTCTCTGCGATCGGTGGCTGGATCGGCTCCTTCGTCGTCGTCCAGGCTGCTAGGCATCATTCTTCAGGAAGATGAGTCGCCATGGGGCGCTCCGCCTACTCCATCCGACGCCACCGACATGCCCTCTATCCGCGCAGCCGCCGCTGAAGTTGCGCTCTCGTCGTCTCTCTCGGCTTCGTCGCCAGTCTTTGTACCCTCGGTCGCATCGACCGCTCCGTCGACAAACTCGCCGTCGCGCCCGCGGGCAGCCACCACCACCTCGACCGTCCATGTCTTCCACTCGCCGACCACCCGCTCGCCCATTCAGCGGACGCCGACCCACTCGCCGCAGATGTCGTCACCGCCACAGCAGCAGCAGCAGCAGCAGCAGCAGCCGCCGCCACCGCGCCCCGCCGAGGAGCCGGCCGCCGACGACATCATGATGCTCTGCGCTCAGTTCCCGGACTTTGACCCCGAGTACATCTCGGACATCTACGCCGAGGCTGCCGAGTCGCGCCTCGCTGCCGCCGACACGCTCGCGCAGATGAACTTTTACCGCTCGCACCTCCACGCGCAGGGCCGCGGCCCGGCGCCTGCGCGCCGCGTCTGCCGCTACTACCAAGAGGGCGGGTGCTACCGCTCCGACTGCGCCTTTGTCCACACCGACACCCAGCTCTCGTGCTCGTACTGGCTCGTTGGCTCGTGCATGAAGGGTGCCGAGTGCGCCTTCCTCCATGGCCTCGACGACTCACACCGAGACGAGCTCGACGACATGCTTGCCTCACAAGAGGCTGCCGCCCGCGAGGCCTCCGAGGCCGCCACCGCCGCTGCCCTCGACGACGCCTTCTTTGCCCCGGCCCCGGCCCCGGCCCACGATGCCCCGCCCGTTCCCTCGATGGCCTCCAAGCTCAAGCGCGCCAAGCTCGGCGAGGAGTTTCCGCGAGTCAACGCCGGCGTCATTGACGAGATCTTTGAGGCCCACGGGTACAACTACGACGCGACCAAGGCCGCCCTCATGGCCGAGCACGCCGACGGCTTTGTCGAGGTCTCGGACGTCGTCGGCGGCTCGCGGGCCGGCGGCCGCTCCGCCAGCAAGCGAACCAAGGCCAAGAGCATGCCGTGGCTCGAGACCGGCGATGCCCTCGCCGCCCTCTACGCCTCGGAGCGCGCGACTGCCGAGGACCTCGCCCGCACGCGCAACCACTACCTCCAGCAGTCTGCAGCCGCTTTTCGCGCCGGCGACAAGGCGCTTGCCAAAGACCTCTCCCGTAAGGGTCGCGCCATCGAGGACCAGATGCACGAGGCCCACGCGATTGCCGCCCGCAACATCTTTGCCGCCCGCAACCCGCCCAGCCTTCTCGAGTCCAAGAAGGTTATAGACCTCCACGGCCTCCACCCCGATGAGGCCGTCGACCACCTGAGCGCCGTCCTCGACTCGCTCATCGCCTCGGGCATCATGGCCTACGTCCTCGTCGTCACCGGGACCGGCCATCACAACGCTCTCGCCAAGAACGGCCTTGTCGAGCCGGCCGTTGCCGACTACCTCGCCGAGTCGGGCCTCGTCTACTCCGACGCCTCCGTGGACGGGCGCGGCGGCTGTTTGCGGGTCTCGCTCCCTCGGCCTGACCGCTCCGTCCGTACCGGAAGGCATCATGGCGGAAAGCGATAAAGTTGAAAAAAGTGAGCAGCGTCGGCGCGTGCAGCAGGAACGTGCGCGATGAGGACACGTTGAGCTTGTCAGCGTCGGCGAGAAGCAAGTTATCATGCCCTTCTCTTGCGTCACCGCCCGTTCGCCCGCAGCAGCCGCACCACGGCGGCCATCCACGCCTCGGAAATAACCGGCGAGTAGCAAAAGTGAGTGCAATCGCAGCCAAACGGCTGGTCGGGCGCGTCATGTCGGAGGCCCAGGTGCGCCGCGTTGAGATCGCGCGTCATCTCCCACAGCGGGAGGACATGGAGCCACTCGTGGGCGGCGTCGACCTCGGTGCGGACTTCTTCCATGAGACTGTTCCGCACCTGCTTGTCCGTCGAGTTGGTTGGTGAGCAGCGGCACGGGCTACCTGGCTCGGCATGGACCTTGCTCTCAAACAGGCCCGAGCCATCGGTTGTCTCAAAGTGCTGTGTCGACGTCTCCTGGAAGATGAAGACATGGTCGGGATGCTGGGCCCACTCCTCGACTTGGCCAAACAGCTCCCGCAGCATGGCCCGGTACTTTTCGCGCTCGTCCTCGGTCCGGATGGTCATGTGCAGCCCGATGTTGACCACAATGACGTCTGCCACCTTCATCGCCCGCGCCACGTTCTCCACGTTGTGCCGGTAGTGGTCCATCCGGCCCACAAAGCCACCAAACGGGCTGACAAGACCATCAAAGCCCGAGTTGTCGGCAAAAATCAGCTTGCCTACATGCATGCCGGCAACCTTGGCCGTGCACCCGAGAAACGCCTGCATTTGCCCCGAGATGGAGTCGCCGCCCTGGATCAGGATTCGTCCTCCGAGCTCGGCCCAGAACTCGGCGATGCCGACTCGCGGAAAGTGGGCCAGAACAGACGGCATTGCCACCTGCCGGAGCCGGGCCAGCGGCTCCTCACATGACCGCGGCAAAACCGACGACGTCCGCAACCCCTCGTTGTTCACAGAGCACGGCGCCGAGTCAGCATGGTCCACATCGGACGGCACACACGAGATGCAATGGATGGTGACCGAAGCGAGCTCGGCATTGGTCCGCGCAAGCAGTGCATCTGCGATGTCACTTTGTGCCGGCATACGTCGGCCATCAGCGCACACGCTTCGACAGTTGGCCGACACAGCGGGTGGAACTCCGGGCTCGGCAGGCATTCGCCGCGCGGGAGATTGCGGGTCACCGCCGTGTTGACAAAGTCCGAGTCGAACGCTGGCTCGTCCGACTCGACCACCACCGGCGACAGGACCACTCGATCGCCACCGTTCACGACCGCCACACCACCGCTAGCCATTGCTGCCGCCTGCAACGCCTCGTACGCCGCTTGGCTCTTCTCACTCAGCACCCCAGGCGCCGAGTCTCCACCAAAGACCAGAAACGACGGAAAGACCTCCACAGACCCGCTCGCGGCCAATGGAGTCGGAGCCGGAGCCGTAGCCGGTGTAGAGGTGGACGGTGAGCCAACTTGCTCATGATGATCGTCATGGTGATCAAGTTGATCATGTTGGTCGTCATGTTGATCGTCATGTTGGTCATGTGACTGTGCTTGATCGTCTTGCTGGTCGGGTGGACTTGATGTATGTCCATGTTGTTGATTATGACCATGATCATGGCCATGATCAGGAGGCGAGTAGGGTGGTGGGCGAAGAGTGACACGTTCAGACTGATGAGCCAAGTTGCGGTCTGAGAACAGGGCGACGACCACCAGTACGCTCCCCACACACACCATGAGCAGGAAAGGAAGTCTCATGCGTCGTCCAAATACCTTACGGGGGAACCTCACCATGCCGGAATGCTTGGTGAGGTGTCCGTGTCTGTGTTTGAGTCCTGTGTCCGTCTCTGGGATGTCTCAGTTCTCTGTCCGACTCGTGCAGCGAGGTCGACCCGTTCAGCGAGGGCGATTCCAATCCGTACCACATGCTGTGTCAGTGAGGATCGGTGGATGTGGGGTGATGAGCTTACTGGCGATGGTGGTGTTCAGGGCGATGGGGATCTGGTCGTTGGCTGGAGGTGTGACAGGGCGATGGGGATCTGGTCGTGGGTTAGAGGTGGGACAGGGCGCCGGGGATCTGGTCGTTGGCTGGAGGTGGGACAGGGCGCCGGGGATCTGGTCGTTGGATGGAGGTGGGACAGGGCGACGGGGATCTGGTCGTTGGCTAGAGGTGGGACAGGGCGACAGGGATCTGGTCGTTGGCTGGAGGTGGGACATGGCGCCGGGGATCTGGTCGTTGGCTGGAGGTGGGACAGGGCGATGGGGATCTGGTCGTGGGTTAGAGGTGGGACAGGGCGCCGGGGATCTGGTCGTTGGATGGAGGTGGGACAGGGCGATGGGGATCTGGTCGTTGGCTAGAGGTGGGACAGGGCGACAGGGATCTGGTCGTTGGCTGGAGGTGGGACAGGGCGACGGGGATCTGGTCGTTGGCTGGGGGTGGGACAGGGCGACAGGGATCTGGTCGTGGGTTAGGCCAGCCCACGCATGACACCATGACCGGACAAGAGTCTCAGCTAGCTGCAGCAGAGCGCAGTATCCGAACAATCGCCGCCATCCACGCCTCGCTGAGGGCAGGCGCAAAGCAAAAGTGCGTGCAGTCGCAGTCAACGGGCTCGCCTTTGGGGTTGATGCGGAGGCCAGAATGGACGGCATGATCATCACGGGTCATCTCCCACAGCGGGAGGATGTGTACCCACTCATGGTCCGGGTCGACCTCGTCGCGGATCTCGTCCAGCAACGCGTTGCGGATTTGCTTGTCGGTCGAGTTCATGGGCGTGCAGACGCACGGATCTCGCGGTTTGCGCTTCGTGTGGCGCTCAAAGAGGCCCGAGCCGTCGACCGACGCAAAGTGCTGCGCCGACGTCTGCTGAAAGATAAAGACGTGACCAGGCTCGAGTGCCCACTCCTTCACCTGCGCAAACAGCGCCCGGAGCATGTCGCGGTAGGCCTCACACTGTGCATCGTTGAACACATTCATGTGCAGCCCGATGTTGACCATGATGATGTCTGCCACATGCATCGCCCGCTCCAGGTTGACCGCGTTGTGCTTGTAGTGATCCATGCGGCCAACAAAGCCTCCCGCCGGGCCGATGACTCCATCGACAGCCATGTCGTCTTCGATGGTCAGCTTGCCCGGCTGCGCACCCGCAACAGCAACCGTGCACCCAAAGTACGACTGCAGCTGGGCAGAAATCGAGTCGCCGCCTTGGATCAGGATCCGACCATCGAGCTCGGCCCAGAACTCGCTGACGCCCGCTCGAGGGAAGCGAGCAAGCAAAGACGGCATCGCTACCTCCCGCAGCCGAGCCCTCGTCGCCTTGCACGACTGCGGCGAAACATACATACGCGACCCGTCCTCTTCCGCATTGCAAGGCGCACCAGCCGCAGCTGCGATGTCCGGCTGGGGGCACGACAGGCAATGCATGATCACGGCGACTGACTCTGTCTCAATCTTCGACATCATTGCATTGACAATGTCGTTCTTCCGCTCACACATGTCCTTCATCACCTTGCATGCCTCCACTGTTGGGCGGCAGAGCTGATGGCGTTCGGGATTGGGCAAACAGTCATCGCGTGGGAGGACCTTTCCGAGCGCAACGTTGGCCTGGTCCGAGACAAACGGCGGCGCATCCGAGTGGACTGTCACCGGCAGTAGTGCAAGCACCTCTTCACCATCAACAACAGCAACGTCGCCACTGGCCGCCGCCTGTGCTTGCATCGCCTCATACTCGCTCTGGCTCTTCTCTCCCAGCGCCTCAGGCGCCGATCCCCGACCCATTACCATGTACGACGGAAAGACCAGGACCGATCCTCCATCCGACGACGGAGAAGACGGCAAGTCGGTGGCGGACACAGTCGACGCTGGCTCTGTCCGCGCGTCGTCCGGGGGCGATGATGATGACGATGATGACGACGGCGATGACGACGGCGATGATGGTGGCGATGTGGACGGTGATGTTGATGTCGATGTTGATGGCGAGTTTGAGGATGGCGGCGAGGTTGACGGCGACGATGATGGTGACGTCGATGACGACGAATGAGCAGCGACCAAATCCAAACGAAGGACATGGTGACGAGGAGAGGTCCAGACGAGCCTTACCAGGATGACCGAGGCCACACCGGCAGCAAAGGCTACCAAGAACATGCTACGTCGCCACCGCCATGGCTGCAGCACTCGCATGGATGGCGACTTGGTCCTCCCTCTCTTAGAGACGGGTGTCTTGACCTCTCTCCTTCTCCGCCTCTCCTTCTCTCCGCATCTCCGCTCCGAGTCTCGCTTTGCCGGCGCAGACCCCTGGCGCCGTCCGTCCCTCCCGTCCGTCCCCCCTTTTGGTTGCCGACCAAGCGGCGGCTCTGCTGGCCAGCCGCATCTTGGCTACGCACTCAGGCAGCCATCGGCAGACTCGTGTGTTCACATCATGTCAAGGAGATGTCTGACCGTTGCTGCCCCTCAAGATCACCGCCCATCCCCGTCAAGACATGAGCCTCGATGCCACGATCCTTTTACTGCGTCGTCGGACAAACACCGATGCCCACGTGGTCCTCGATCCACTTGAGCTCGCGGAGGATTTTGGCCACCGTAGGGTGCTTCGTCGGCACCTGGTTACACACCGCCTCGGCCACAGCCGTGAGAACCACATCGCGGTATGTCTCATTCTTCAGCTGTAGCACGTCGATCGTCAGGCTGTGGACCTCCACAAAACCCGCAAGAAGCGCAGCAAGGACGTTGTTCTTGTCCTCCGCATCACCCACCACATCGAGCACAGCAGCCAAGAACTTCTCGCACACTTCCATCGTGCGCGCCACGCTCAACTCTTCCTCGCTCGGCCGGGGCGCAATCGGCGCCCGCAGCAGCATGCCCGACACTCGCGACAGGCTTGCCAGGTCGACGAGGCCGGCACAGCCACCCTCGATCCGAATCGCACTCACAATCCGCAGGGCCATCTCCCGCGTCGCTGCGTCGATTGCTTTGCCGTACTGTGGCGTGTTGGTCCTCGCCTCCAGCACGCGTGCCGCCGATCGATCAAGCACCTCGAGCACCCGCGACGTTTCACGGACCGAGTCGGCGTCGTCGCCATAGAGCGGCACTACCTGCCGCTCAACCACAAGCCGCGCGTCCAGCGTCCGTGCCAGCGGATACATCGTCTTCAGCCTCGGCCGACACAGGTTGCCCTCGTTGAACATGTTGATCGCATCGTACACGCAATACTGCGCATCCTGTACCACGCTCATCTTCACCCACTTGTTCAGCCGCTCGCCGGTCACCCCAAACGAGTCGAACCACGAGAGAACGACTGCGCAAATCCCGCGCGCCGTCGCCGCCGAGCCATCCTCAATCGGCACGAGCGACGCCGCAACCGCAAGCGTGTCCAGGTTTTCCGCAATGTTCGACACCGTCACCCCGTCAGACACTCTGCCGGGGCAGTCGAGAGTGGCCACCGCGGTCATCCGCGCCCCATCTCTCAGCCTCTGCTGCGCATCGGCGGCCTTGATCCCACACCTGGCTCCGCGCGCCTGCACTTCCACCCGCAGATCTGCGCCCAGCTTGTCCAGCTCGTCATCAGGGAACGACCGCCGCTTGTACCGCAGCACGTAGCTCGGCAGGTCGTCGCACTCGATCTGCGCCAGCTCACGGACAACATCCTCGCCTGCGACTTCCAGCCCGTTCTCGGCGCAGATTCGTGCCTCCGTCTCTGCGTCGAGCATGTAGCCGAGTCGCGCAAGCACCAATGCTTCGGCCGTCATCATCGCCGGCGCTGCTCGGATCCGCGACTCGAAACCAGGGAGGATAAGCTCTTGCAGCGGCGTCGCCTCACCACCCGGCGTCCGCGGGCAGACCTTGTCTGGCGCAAACTGCCACAGCATCCGCTGCACGTCAATCGTCACTGACCCGGTCTCGGTAACCTCCGTGTACGCAGCCCGCAGATCGACATCGGTCACCAAGCCCGCCTCGCGCCACGCGCTCAGCGCTGCAGCCGGCTCGGCCTCACCTGCAAGGGCCTCGCCCAGATGATGCGCCAGCGCAGGCTCATCGCGGAAAGGGATTCCTTTCACGCCAGCCCTGAGAGCGTCAACCACAGCGCCGCATCCACCGCCGATAAGTCGGATCGGCCATGCCCACGGTGACTCGCTGTCGATTGTCTCGTTCCGAGCCGCTTCGGACACGGTACGCCGCACAGCTGTCCACCCGGCGAGCCGATGCAGCATCCGCACTCGCTCGCCCATGTCCGGCGTGGTCGACTCGAGCATTTCCGACGCGATGTCCGTCACAAGCGCCACTGCGTCGTCACTCTGAAGCACGACGCTCAGCCCGTTATCGAGGCTTTGTGCGCTGACCAGCGCAAGGTACGCCCAGCCGCCTGCGCTGATCTTGCGCAGCTGCGGCCGCAGCTGCTCCATCCGCCCCGACTTCCAGTTGCTGTCGATCAGTACCGCGTGAAGCATGTCCAGACTGGGATGCGCGCTTGCTCCGGCGCTGATCGTCTCCCGCAGCACCGGTACCCACCCGCCTGCCTCACCGCTCTCGCACCATCGCTTCATGCAAGCCATCAGCGCCTCGCCGTGGACCGGAGTCCGGTCAAGCAGCTCCGCAAGCTGCTCGGCCGACATGCTGCAGATCGCGGCAGCAACGGCGGGCGTGAGCAGGACTTTGCGTGCGGCATCGGTGCCGGCACCGAACAGATGCGGTGCAAGCGTCTCAACCTCGACCTCGCGCCGCGGCGTGAGTGGAACCCGCGCCGCAAGCAGCAGGTCCACATCGTTGGCTGTCACCTCGACCTCGACACCTGCCCGTGCCAGCGACCACCGGATGACCGCCAGCTGCGTCCGCAGCGGTAGCATCCTCCCCGCACCCGTGCACATGGTTGCAATCGGCGAGTCTGCCCGCGCCATGTCCTGCAAGACAGCGACGGCGCGCGGATGCTGCGTCACCCGCAGGTTGCGGAGGAGAGCCTCGAGGACTTCTGGCCGAACACAGGCCATCACAAGCGCAGGCTTGTGGTACGTGGCGATGATGGCTATGAACAGACTCGCCGAGTGCGGGAACGACCGCCACGCCACCTTGATTGCATCCCAGTCAAGATGGCCCTGCTCAGCCACACGCTGCAGCACTTCGTCGCCGGATCCGCTCCGCAGGCTCGGTGCCGCGTACACCGCCGGCCCACGCCGAATCCCTGCTTCATCCGACGCGCAGAGATGCACGCACAGATGCGCAGAGAGGACCGGCCGCATCCGCGCCAGCACGTCTTCACACGCCATCAGTGCATTGCTTGTTGCTGCAAGTTCGCGTCCGAGGCTGCTGTTGTCGTCGATGCGGGCGCTCAGCACGTGGCGCGTCCACATCGCCAGCCGCACGCCCTGTGGCACAAGCTGAAACATGTCCGATCCGAAGCAGCACTCGTAGAACGGGACGCGAATGTGGTCGTCAGCAGCCGCAACAGCCATGCAAACCGTAGCCATCCACTCGGCCCAGCACGGCTCGACACGGATCGCTGCCATCATGTCGTCGCCCAGCATGCGCCTCGCCCTTGCCACCTTGCTCTCCACAACATCGCGCATCTTTGCGACCCGCTGGACAAGCTTCTCGGGGTGTAGATCCTCAGCGAGCGTCTCGAGAACAAAGGTGAGAAGAGCCACCAGTCGATCACGCGAGACATCGCCACGCGGCGCCAGATCCTTGAGGATCCTGCCCGCCAGCTCGTCAGCCGTCGCCACCAGAGATTCTGGCGGCGCCACGCCAAAGAGCAGCATCATCGTCCGCTGCTGCACTGTCTGCGCTGCATCGAACGCCATGTGGTACGGTCGGATCCGAAGGAGCTTTGCCTCTACATCACTCCGCCCACCGAGCGTGTCGAGCAGCCGAAGATGGTCCGACGTCACGTGTCCGACGCACGCCACGATGGCAAAGCCTGGCCGGCTTGCAGCCACCTCATCGACCAGTCTCGACCAGCCCGAGACCGACAGTTCAGCGCTGACAAGACACAGCGCTCTTCCCGCCAGGGCATCGGACGAGAGATACCTATCAATCTCACTGAACACCTCCGTCGGCGGGTACGTCGAGCGCACCCGGTACGCCTCGGTGGCATCGATCCTGGTCTTCAGCCAGTTGTCGTTGTTGCACTCGACGATCACAAACCGCCGGAGCGCCTCACCTCGCGGCGCCCGGCACACCGTGTCAAGCTCGAGTAGCGCTCGCGGCACACCATCGGGCGTTGTACCGAGCTGCCGTGCTTCGGCCTCAACCTTGCGCCTGATCGCACCCTCCACGGCCGGATGCTCGCGGACAAGCGCCTTGGACTCGAGCCCGTCGCTCCCACCGGCCACAAACGGCGTCCAGGCGAGGCTCGGCAGCGGACGCTCGAGCTGGATCTTGAGGAGGTCGCCGACGGTGGGCGGCATGAGGATGTCCTTGTCGAGCGAGACCTCGACAAAGCTGCGGTGCAGGGCGTCGTCGGCGATGACGATGATGTGGACCAGTCCGCTCGCGGCCCTCATCAGCTGTCGAAGCTGCCCGCCTCCGAGCTGGCCAGCGACGCGGAGGAGGATAAAGACCATGTTTGGCTGGCAGCTCAGGTGCTCGATGTCCTTGAGCGACGAGTCAAAGTCGGTCTGGCTCACTACCTTGCGCAGAGCGGAGATGCCGATGCACTTGGCCACCCTCTGCGCCGTCACCTCTTCCATGGACTCGAGGACAAGCCCGTTGTGGATGGCGCCGGGCTCGGCCTCGATCAACATCCGCAGCATGTACGCCACCTCGCCCTCAACTTCGCCTGTTGCGTTGCAGAGCTGGTTCCGCCAAACCTGATTGTATGCCTGACGGAGCTCGACGCTCCCGATGATCTTTCGCGCCAAGCTCGAGCTGTGATGCATCATGTAGGTGTCAATCTTCGGCGCCATCCCCCCCTCGCCGTAGCTCTGCCGCAGCAACTTGACGACCGACTGCGGCGTGTCCACCAGGCCACGGGACATGGGGCCGCTCTCCAGCGCCTTCTCCCGCGCCTGCTTCAGCACCTTCCACATCTCCTGCGCGGCCGCATCATTATCGTCGGCCGCCCGCCCGTACACGACCATACCGAGCCGCCACTGCGCGCCGGCCACGGTCGACGTCCGGGTCCATGGCACAGGGATGGTGGCCATCGCAAGCCCGTCGCTTGCGTGCGGGCTCTCTGCTGCCACCATCAGGCTCTGGCTCGCAACATCGTATTCCAGTACCGCCCCGGCAATCGCGCCCGGCACGCTTTGCTCCGTCAGCTCAAAGACCACCGCCTTGGGCGCGCCACCCTTTGGAATCACGGTCAGCAGCTGCTTGACCGGGAACGCGCACGGCGTCATGTCCGCCGCCTCGGCCTCGGCCTCGGCCTCCGCACCAGCATCGCCAAGCGGTGGCTCGAGCTTCCATGTCGGCCTGGGCATCCGATGCAGAACCTGCATGACCGTCGTCTCTCCCGTCAGCGTCGCCCATCCCTGAGGACAGTCGTCGCCGGAGTAGCCGATGTACACGTCGTCCGGGAGGCAAACGTCCGCCACCACTACCTCCGACCCACTCACCACGACCACCCGCTCCTCGCGCAGCTGGACTCCAAGACAGATTGGACACACTCGCACTGTCCCGTTGGGCCCGTGCTTGCCGAGAATGGCGCAGTGAGCTTCGATCTGAGCCTTAAGGTTGTCTCGCGCTTCCAGCGCCAGCACCTCACCAACACCCTCGCTGTGCTGCGGCTGGACAGGGCTTGTCGTGCTGGCGTCGCCGCTGGGCCCCGCGCCGCCATGCGGGAGTTCCGCCGCAGGAGGCTCTGCGAGATCGATCTGCACTCCAATCGCTGTCGCCACCCGCTCGACGATACGGGAAAACGCCACGCCGCCGTCAGTCTTGCGCCTGAGCAGGGCCACGACGCTGGATCGCTTCATCTGCGCCATCTGCGGGTCGTACAGTGCCGACTGGGCATCACACAGTGCCGCGAATAGCGCCTTCTTGGACTTGCTCAAGGCGGACTTGACCGCCGTGACAATATCGTCCGCGCTACTATCAGCGTTGAGCACCTTGAGTGACTTGACGTCCATCATCGAGTCCGGCTCCGCTTGCGCTGCTTGCGCCTCTCCGGCCGCCCCGGGCGGGCTCACCTTGTCTGCTGGATCAACTGGCGATGCATCATCCGCTGGCACTGCTGTTGCTGCGTCAGTGGGCGTGCTGTCGTCAGCGGCGCTCCCTTCTTCCTCCTCTTCCTCCTCAAACTCCTCGGGCTCATCCTCGGTCCCAGCGTTCGCAGCTTCAGCCTCGGGCTCGGTTTCAGCCTCAGCCGCGACATCAGCCTCAACTTCCGCCTCGGCCTCAGCCTCAGCCTCAACCTCGGCCTCGACCTCAGCCTTGGCCTCGACCTCAGCCTCGACCTCAGCCTCAGCCTCGGCCTCAGCCTCCGGCTGCCCGTCGGCGCGTGCATCGTGAAACTCATCGTCACCGTGATCGTCCTTGTCACTAAGGTGCTCGCCACCCTCGTCGCCATCGATCCCATTGCCAACACCGGATTGCCCGCGGCAGTTGAGCTCGTAAGGCACATTGCATGGCTTGCGTTCGATCGGTTTGGTGACGCGTGCCTCTGTAGCCCGCGAGGTGAGGAGCATGCGGGCGACTTTGGTCATCTGCATGTCCATTTGGCCCATGGCGGCGATTTCCTCCTCCACCTTGGCTTGGATCTGGGCGCGATCCGCTTCGTCGTGGATGGCCATCTCCTCCTCGTCACTCAGCCCCTTCAGAAGCGTAAGCATCGGAGCAAACGCACGGTTCGAGTTGGTTAGCACTGTCACCGTGCCCAGGACTCGGTCGCGAATGCCGACACCCCGCCCATCGTTGTTGTCGCTGGTAAGAGTCACAATGGCTGCACCAAGCGCCACAAGCTCTCGCGACGAGACAACCAGCTCGTCGGACCTTTGCAGACCGAGTGCGTCAAGTGCCATGACCACAAGACTTTCGCACGTCAGCTGAAGCATCGGGTGCGTGCCGTTCTTCGCCATCACCTCCTCGTGCATCTTGTCCATCTCGAGGCGACACGCTTGCAGCGCCCGGCGGATGCGGGCCTTGGTTACAGTCTCCGTGGTTGGACCAGCCATCTTCTTGTCTTGTTGGTAGTGTCAAGAGAGGTGTGTGTGTGTGTGTGTGGTGGAAGCTTTGCGTTGCGAGCTCGTTATCCCCTGCGCTGAAAAAATGTCACACTTTGTGGAGCACCGGTTGGTGCCCGCCCGGTTCCTCCGCGGCTCGACTGCGTCTGGGACATACTCATTGCCGCCACGTAGCCCCATACTACCAGCCCTACACTACTAGGATGCAGGAATGCCAAACTCACTTTATTGGTGCCCATGTCTGTGCACATGGGTGTACAGGGCCCGCTTGACTGGTGCGACCGGTTCCGGCGAAACGTCACAAACTGCAGCTTCGCGGACAAACACTGTGACGTCGGTACAAACGTCACAGTTGCTGCCACTCGGATCGAGAAAATACAAGCGTCGCAAAGACCAGCCAAGAACAACCGCTTCCGACACGCTTCTCTCAAACTACAGACAGACAAGCTATGCCCGGATTCTTTTCCACGACGGAGGTGAGGCCCGCGAACACGTCCGGCAGCGGTAGCGCTCGGCGGCCTGGTTTGGGCGGCGTCGGCGCGGCGGTCGAGGCGGGGCCGACTCGGACGGCACTCGAAAAGAACCACAGCGACACAACCGTCATTTTTGCTGACAACCTGCTGGCCATCACCTCGGCAGCAGACTCACCGCGTGGCGTCGCCCTCCTGCAGTGTGTCGGCAGCGGCGGCACGATGTACAACGTCAAGCCGCGCATGTGCCTGCTCGGCCAACCAACCCGGGCAAAGGTCTTTGTGGCGACGGAGAACGAGGACTGGGTGTTTGGCCTAGACAGAGCTGAGGCCATTAGGAACATTACTTCCCGCCTCGGTCTCCACGATGCGGTGGCGGAGGATCTGTACGAAAAGCGGGAGTTCGACCAGTCGTACGAGAGCCACGACGCAGCGTGGAAGGCCATCAACGGCAGTCGGGGCGCAACCACCATTGTCCTCCGCAACGCGCTTCTCTCGCGCCGCCAGGGAACAGTTGTCTCGTACAACCGCAATGCATCCAACTCGAGCTCGTGGACCATCCATCTTGTTGCTGCTCACGGCATCGATGCTGATCGTCGGCTGGCTCGGCCGGGCCTCCTCGGCCTCCTCACCGTCGGCGCCGTTCTCTCGCTGCACATCAACAGCGAGCTCGGCAACCTGCTCTGGTGCATTGCTTTCAGCGGCGCAGCCAGCGCTGGCATTGCGGGCTACGCCAGCCCGACCATTATCCCCTCCAGCAAGTCCCCGGAAGAGCGGGCCAAGTTCATCCGCATAGCCCGTATGCTCCCCGACGCCGACTGGGACGCCGTCCACACCGCTGTTGCCGAGATCGGCTCAAGCATCCTCGACAAGCGTCCGTTGCCCGGATTTGTCACCAACTCTGCCGAGCTGAAGTCGGCGGTGGACAACTCGACCGCGAGGCAGGCGCCCCTCACCGCCGAGCTCCACGCCCTTTTTGCCGACCAGCGGTGGCAGCTCCTCAACCGGCTGGTCAACGCTGAGCAGTCACGAGCGCTGGCAAAGGAGCTTGAGGCCATCGCGTTGCCTGCGGATGACCATCACGAGCACCGATCGACAACTGGACGGGTCGAGACCCTGTTTCTAGCGCCAAAGACGACGGCGGTGTTTGCACCCGTATCAAGCCCGGACCTCATCGGACTGCTGCTCAACGAGGACTTGGCCGGCGGCGACGCCAAGAAGGACGAGTCTGCGCTCAGCATGGTCGAGTGGATTGAGAAGGTAATCTCTCTTCCGCTCACGCATCACGGGCTCATCCAGTGGATCTTGGGCGTGGCGGCGGGCGGCGGGAGGCGCGACATGGAAGCGTTCGAGGCCATGGACGAGCTGACGGTGGTGGAGAAGATCGCAACGTTCTGCCTTGCGCAGCAGTGTCCGAATGCGATGACCGCCGATGTGCTCCGCGGCACGTTCAAGCTTCCTCCGCAGATTGAGGCCTTTGCCTTTCGGGTCAACGGACAGTACGGCATCCATGTGATCTCATCACTCAAGCACTCGACGATGCGCGAGCTCGGGTTTCCGATGGTGGAAGTGGACGTGAGCTGGCTGGTGGCGAGCTCGTTCCAGGATCAGGAGCTGTACTCGGAGATTGTGCGGCACTTTAGCCCCGAGACCCTCTTTGTCTACGTCCGTGGGCTGGAGAGCATCCCGGACCGGACCGTCAAGTGGCTCGCCGAGTACACTCGACGGGCGATCTTCCACTACGTGATGCTGGAGGATACGGTGACGGTGTTCAACCACTGCGAAGACCGCGACCGTATGTGCACTCGTCACGCCATTCCGCGCTCGCTCGCCGAGGAGCGACTGGTGCCCACGAGCACGGCAGCCAAGCGAGTCCTTGCTCTCGTCCCCTACACGCCGATTGACTCGGCAGCGGCGGGCATCAGCCACATCCGCGGCGCTGAGATGTCGTTCAACTCTGCGCTCAACGCAACGTGGGAGGGCGAGCTGGCAAAGATGCTGCAGCCAAACTCGGGTGTTAACGTGGCGGTTGTGATCTCGTCACCCGGAGCCGGCAAGACGTACACGGTGACGGTGATGCGCAAGAAACGAGGGGCGGCAGTGGTGCCGATCATCGACGCGTCGTCGCCGGACTTGGTCAGGGTCTCGCTCAAGAGCTGGCTCGACAACCATCTCGGCGACACGGCGGAGATCCTCATTGTCGACGAGTACCATCGGCTCGACGAGTATCAGAAGGCCAGTCTCTTTGATTGGATCCATCTCACCCTCCTCGCCCAGCCGCACCTCAAGGTGGTCATGATTGGCAACCGGCATTCAGCCTACGACGATCGGCTCATCGAAGACTTTTCTGCTGCCAGCAAGATGACCACCGAGCTCCTCTGGTGCCGACTGAGCATCGCCAAGGCCGTGACTGGCATTACGCCGGCCATCAACTCGCACAAGCAGGGCATCTTTCTCACCATCTACTTTACCGCCGCGCGCAACCTCTTTGGCGACGAGGCTATCTCGCTCCGCAACCGGTCGGATCTCCTCGCCATGGCGGCTCAGCCGACCATCTCCGTCTCGAACCTCGCTGCGCTCGTCCTCGACAAGATGCCGACCATCGGCGAGTGTTTTGCCGCCCTCTTTGCCTGCGAAGTCGTCGAGCTCACCGAGCGTGTGGTGCTTGACATGGACAAGCGCGGCGCATCGTCGACGCCTGGCGAGTACGACATGTACGCCGCCGAGGTTCGCAAGATGGCGCTGAGCGAGTGGATCCCGAGGCGCGGGAACGAAAAGCCCGAGGCACTTTTGGTGGGTGCTGCGGTGCTCTCGAGCGATACGCTGAGCTACCCCGAGCTGAAGGTTGCGTCGCGATCGGAGCTCCATCCGGGCGGGTTGCTGATGGCGTGGGCCAAGATGACGTGCGATGAGGCGGATTCGATAGCGGCCAAAGTGTTCAAGTACGACTCGGTGCTGCGGATGAAGCTCGTGGAGCAGGTCGGCTTCCCGCTGGTCGAGGGCGTGGGCCTCGAGTCGACGATGGGCCCCGAGTGCGAGACGCTGACCTTGGTGGGTGACTACACCGATCTGCCGTTCATGATCGACAACCTTGCTCGCGGCCACACCTTTGATTGGCCCGGGCAGGTCAAGCCGGTGTGGCAGCGACACTACGTCCAGTCGGCCGAGGCGTTTAATGAGCTTCTCTCGGTTGCTCCGCGCCCGAACCTTGTCCTCGACGCGATCGATTCCCAAAACCTGGCCAACTTGCTGCAGACGTACCCGGATCCGGCGTTTGCCCACCGCGTGGCCAAGAACCTCACCGCTCACCAGTTTAGCACGGTCATTGCGGGCCTCAGCGAGACTGACGCGCACTTGATCCCAACCTGGATGCACGAGGCAAAGTGCCACGCCAGCTGGGTGCTCGTCGTCGACGTGTGGGCCCGGGACGGCGGTGATGCCAAAATCGAAGAGCTCTTGGCCGACATTAGCCTCTCGCTCGGGGTTATTCTCATGTGGGCGGCCGAGAACGCCGCGCCATTTGCACGCGTTGGCTCGCTGGCCGAGGCTGAGGCTTGCGAGGCCAAGCTCATCAGCTCACTTGTTCAGCTTGTCCACTCACTCTTTTCCGACTCGCCGGCGAGCGATGGCGATGTCATGACACCGCCGTTTGTGGCGCTTTTCCGATCGTGCTTTGCCCCGCTGCTGGGCGAAGTTCTGACTTGCCTCGCCGAGGAGGGGGCATCTGAGAAGGCAGCGGCTCTTGCGCTTGTCTGCGCCAACGGCGAGTACCCGACCCCAGAGACATGGCCGTCGGCGGTCAAGATCATTGGGCGGATGCTGCACAACAACGCGCTCCCGCAGGACTCGGAGCTCGAGGTGCAAGGTGTGCTTGATCTGCTCATTGATGACAGCGGGGCATGGCCGTCACTGGTGCTTGCGGGCGCTGAACAGATGAGCAAGAGCATAGCCGCGATGGCAATCCAGCTCATCGGCAGAGTGCTCAAGATGCAGAGTCTGCCGCGAGTGTGGCAGATCGCATTCTGCCGCGGCGGCGAGCTGGTCAAGAAGGCGATGGGTGAGACAAGCATGCCAGATTTGCGGCGGCGACTGGATTCTGCCATCAAGGAGCTCCCGGCAGCGGCCATCGATATTGGCAAGCACAAGCTTGAGGAGGAGATCGTGGGCCTCAAGGCTCGGCACGTTGAGGCAGCAAGGATGCGGATGCAGCGGCGGAGAGATGTGGTCGAGTCGGCGTCCGCCATCTCATACCAGGCGCAGATGAAGTACATGGATCGGGCGGGGCTAAGCTCGAGCGACAAGGGCCATCGGCGGATCACGCAGTTCTACAACAACTACGCCTTGGCCGAGCCGTCCGAGTGGCCAGACGAAGAAGCCAAGGCGTGCAAGAACCCAGCGGATGCCAAGTTTGACCTCGGCCGCCCGGGCGCCTTTGTTGGCCGACGCATTGTGCTCGGCGTCTTCCTCCGCCGCACGCTAGCCAGCGGCGCCAGCTTTGAAGAAGATCTCGCCTTGTTCAAGATCGCTCTGGAGGCCAAGGGCTTTGTCTACGAAGTCATCCATGATGAAAACGTGTTCGCCGACCGCCTCCTGGGCGGGAACGTCGACGAGGCGTGGCTCATCTCGGGCTCGGCGAACAACGTGTACAAGAAGTATCCGACCGAGGACGGGCGGTCGGCGATGTGGACCAAGCTGGCACATGCGTGCCTCGTGCACCATCTAGCAGGCAAGGGGCTGTATCTTGGCGCCGATGAAGATCCATACTTGGCGCACGCCAACGTGGTGCTCTCAGCGCTCTATGCCACCGCTGATGTGGCCGGATCAAGCAGCGGCGCGCGCGCGGTGCCTTACTTTGCTGGAAACGACCCAGGCCAAGCCATTCTTGAGCCCAAGGGGACGCCCGGTAAGGACGACGATGCCACGTTTAGCACGGGTCTCTTCCTCACCACGGGCCTGCAGCAGATCTTCGAGGGTGTGACGGTCTCATCAGTGCTTGGCCTCTCGGGCGTGAGTGCCGTGCTCCACCCAAAGCTGACGCCCAAGAACACGATCGCCTGCCGCGAGAGCCACAGGATCAGGGACGGGATACACGGGCGCATCTTTATGGACGGCGGGTACACCAAGCTGCTGAACGGCGAGTTTAAGGAGGCTGGAACGGAGCGGATGGTCGGTAACGTGGCAGTTTGGCTGCTCAACATCGACCCTGTGGTCAAGCTCAACAAGAAGCACGGGTTCCGGCTGCGACCTGTTTTGGATGACGGCGCGCGGGCCGAGTGGGAGGCAGTGATGGAGAAGGCGAAGCAAGTTGCCGATGCGCGGATGGCGACGTGGGTTCTCGAGGCGCCCGTGCCGAAGGTTGTTCCGGTCGACATCGTCTTTTCTATCGACGCCTCCTCCTCGATGAGGGGTTCCGGGCTGGCTGCAGTCACCTCCTGGGCCAAGAACTTTGTCGATCGACACAGCCGCCGCTTTGATGTGGGCGAGAAGAAGCCGCGCGGGGCGGTGCCGCGCTTTGCCATCGTCACCTTTGCCGGCCCTAATGGTATGCACTCGAAGCGGATCTCAGGCTTTGACGACTCGACGAAAACGATCAAGACGAAGCTAGACTCGCTCAAGGCTAGCGGCATGACCAGCTACAGGACGGGTCTTGGGCTCGCCCACGAAGTCATTGCGGAGGACGCGTCCAACGACGGACGGCGGGCGTATGCAGTGGTCTTCCTCACGGATGGGCAGCCGTCCCATTGGGATACCGAGATGGAAAGCGTCCACTTGATCCGCACCGAGCTTGAGACGCAATTCAGCGCCAAGATTGTGACGGTCTCGATGGAGATCGCGGCAGATGCCAAGGCGATCGTGCATGAGCGGCTGACGCACGTGGCTTCGCTCCGTGAGGGGGCAACGGTGGGCAGCACGAACTTGGACGACTACTTGGTGATCGACACCACGTTTGCGGACATGGGCGACGAGTTTGCATCGCAGGTCATGAACCTGGTTGCACCGGACGACGCTCGCGCTTTGCCCGGGTCGAGTGGAGGCGAGTGAGTTTGCGGGCGATGGCTCCGAGGGCGCGGGCAAAGCGGGTGGCGTAAAAGAGCGATGGATCGATGGTCTCCTCGCGCCACGTGAGGATCTTGACGACGGCGGCCGATGTGAGCGCAGTAAGAAAGTAGCGGGCGCCCTTGTGTCCAGCGTATAGATGGCCGAGGCTCTCGTCGACAGCCCAAGAGATGAGAACGGGCGCGGTGATCGTGGCGAGGACGGATGGCGGCGGAGCGACAGGATGGACGACAACAACGGCATCGACTGTGCGCGGGGCGGCTGCAGCGTACTCGAGGGCGGTCCGGCCGCCGACAGATCGGCCGCCGAGAACGAGCCAGGCGCGCGGTGTCAGGGCGTCGAGGACTGTGTCGAGGACGGTGGCGACGGCGTGGGTCGAGCGGAAAGCGCGGCGTGAACCAGACGACGCGCCGTAGCCGGGCATGTCGACCATGACGACAGAAGCGTTGTGGATGAGAGGGAGACTCGCCCATGCCTTCCAGGATGAGCCCCGACCGTCGCCGTGGAGCAGCAGGACGAGCCCGGCATTGTGGGCAGTGTCCGGCGCGGGCAGACGGACGAGATGGATGTCGCCGTGAGCAGTGGCCACAAAGGCACAATCGCGGACGGGGTCGTCGTCTAAGGGAAGCCAGGTGAGAGCAGACATGACAGATGGAGGAAAAGGCAGTGATGATGGTGCACCGGAGGGAGGGAGCGGGTTTTAGGGCAAGGAGGAGTTGTCGGAAGGAATGGGAAGGAATTCCGGATTTGGTGTGATGCGCGCGCCGGCAATGTGCGAGATAGCCATCCTCGCTTGCCGGGACAATATCTGTCACCATGCAGTCCTCGCCTCGGCCTACATCATGACGATTGTGTAGACGGGGACACAGCGTTCATTGTAGAGATCGACCAGCAGTGGCACGGGCAAATGCTCGAGCACGGACATGGCCTACAGCTCAAGATCACCAGGGCCATCGGCGGCAAAGACCTTGTTGTCGGCAACGTCAGGCATTTCGTCGAGGTTGGGAGGCGCGGCAGCGACCGAGGCCGAGGACTCGGACGGCTCGAGCTCGTAGAACTCAACTAGATCGTCGAGGACCGGGAAGACGACGCTCCGGGTCGCCGCCATCTCAACATACTCACCAGCAACGACCCTCAGAATAAGATCCGAAGTACAGACGTTGGTGAGGAATGCATTGGCCAGCGACTGGAAGAGCATGGCAAAGATCTTGAGCAGGTCAAACTTGTACGACGCCGCTGCGTCACCGATGATCTCCAGGAGCTGGAAGAGGCGATCATTGAGGATGAAGAAGAGCAGGATGAAGATGAAGGCCATACAGTAGCATGCCTTTTGGGCTCGAGAGACCCGCTTCATGATCTTGGCATGAGTCTCGTGGTCGAGCGCGTGGATGAGCCTGCGCCCAAGAATGAGAAATACGGCTTCAGAGAGGACGACAAATAGCAGGGCCAGCGCCATCCACACATCGCCGATGGTCTGGTACGCCGACGACGAGAGTGTGTACATGAGCGGGACAAAGAGAATCGGCTTAGACATGGCCAGAAAGCCCGGCAGCGGATGCCATGGCAGAGCAGCCTTGACAATCAAGGCGCCCTTCTGGATGCCCGGGAAGAGTGAGATGACCACCGGTGCGAGTGTGATGAGCGACCGGACGCCGTAGCCGGCGCCGACCACTGTCTCGATGTTGACCAGAATCAGATCGTAGAGGTCATTGCAGTTCTTGGGACAGTCCGAGTCCTCCAGCGAGACCAGCTCAGCGCACCGATAGCCCTCGTCGCTGGCCTTGGCCGACACGCACAGCGCCGTCACCACGTCCTTGGTCACGCCCTCCTTGGCAAACGCATCCGCAATGTCCACAAGCCGGCGATACGGCACAAGCTGGAGCAGGAACGGCAGCGAGAAGGTCATGAGCCAGCAGATCCGCAGCAGCTTGTTCGGCACATCGCGATTCTTCCACTTGAACAGGGCCACACACATGAGCAGCCACGAGACGACCAGCACCACCAACTTGATGATGACAATCGCCAGTTCGGTGTTGTACACCGTCTCGAAAATCCGCTTCATGGACTTTTCGGCTTCATCGCGATCCTGACGCGGCTGATCGAGCGAGAGCACCAGCGAGGTACTCACCAGAATCATGGCCACAAAGAAGCACAGAACCAACAGCAGAATGTTCGAATGCCGCCAAAGGACAAATGACAGCGAAGCTTTTCCGTTTTCGTGGTCAGCGACATAGCCCATCTCCGACTCAAAGGCCGGCATAGCTTCCCATGAGCCGCAGCAAGCACGCGCAAGGTGCGAGTGCGGCAAACCTTTCTTCTTTCCGTGTTCCACAGCCATCGCTTCCGGACACACGTTGGAGACAAGTGGATGTAAGCTTCAGTGTCAACGCTGTGCCCCCGCACGTCTCTCCGGTGTCACCCGCGCCTCACCAACCCACGCTGTCAGTGCGGGACTGAACCACAACGGAACAAAGTGTTGCGATTGTGCGGACTTTCAACCTAGGCTGACCATGCACCGACCATGCACCTATAGTTAGTATTTGCAGATCACCTTCTGCCCCGATAGTGGTTAGTGTGGGCCGGTAAGCGCTTGTGCGTGGTCACTATGTGTTGTTCCTGCTTGCTTGCTGATGCTGATGATGCTGATGCTGTTGTCGTCCGCGCCCGTCCGCATTCAACCAAAACTCGGCCGACGATAGCATGCCTACGATCTCCAGCGCCACAAGGAACTATCGCGACGCGAACCTGTTGGATTGGCATCATGGAGATCATTGTCATGGTGGATGTCGGCGAGCGTTTGGAGTCGCGTTGCATGGCGGCAGGGACAGGACGGCCAACTGCAGGCGAGTGCGACAATGCGAGGTCAGCCTCTGCCCGGAGTGTGGCTCGTGCGTATTGTCATCGTGGCGGGCTGGTAAACGCTTGTGCGTGGTCGCTTCGGGTTGTTGATGCTTGCTGATGCTTGCTGATGTTTGCTTACGTGCTGATGCTGATGCTGCTGCTGCTGCTGCTATCGTCGTCGGCGTGGTGTGACCGACTGCAGACGCGACATATGACTGGCGGCATGCGACAGGAGACCGAGGACAGGTAATACGCAACCGACAACAGGCTAGCAAGCAGACACCGCACTCGACTGTGCCATACGCACCCTACCACAACAGAGCATAGTCTACAAAGACATGGCCATGGAGCTTGACGGTGGGTCGGAGAAGGCGGTGAACAAGTGCGCGGGCAAGGTGAGCCAGTATGTGACGGTCTTGGCCAACGAGCCGTCGTTAGGATTGATGAGAGTGAACGAGCACATCGCCAAGGCGACTCCAGAGCTGTTGGACAGGATGGAGAACGTTGATGGAGCTACAGATGGCATTGCTGCTGGAGTTGTCGACATTGAGTATGCAGGAGAGGCTGTCGAGACGCTGCTGGCGTCGGCGACCGTCTTCGACTCCATCTCGGGCTACATCTCCAGCGCGGCAGGAGCAACAGCGTCGATACTCTCCGAGCAAAAGGCAAGGAAGAAGCGCGGCGAAAAGGGCGGGCTGCCTGTGGCCCTTCCAAGCGAGCCGTATGTGCCGCGGGCGGAGCGATCGTGAACTGCTCACGTTGCAGACCGCGCCGCGCTCAACAAGGCAATGCAAGGCGGATGCGCTACGTTGAGCCGGAGTCTTTCAGCGACATCATGCCCAACTTGCCCGAGGGCCCCTGCGCGCTTGCCACCGCAGCCGAGAAGTGGGACGCGCTGACAGCCATTAGCAGTGGTGGGAAGCGAAAGCACGAGCGAGAAGATGCGGGCCAAACGTCAAGAAGATGAAGCAGGCTAAACAGCCAAAAGTGCAGGCCGGGTTGTGGATGGATGGGCTGTGATGCTAGCTGGGGCAGGCGGGTGGCGGAACTGTAGCGACCCTGAGTCTGGCATTCCAGCTGGAGCGAGCGTGCTGGGCAACAGCGGCAGGCTGGATGGCCACGTCCCGTGGTTCCGCTACTGGATCAACCAAGCATCTATGGTCTGCAGGCCGATACCAGGCGCGGCCTGTTTGCGGCGCGGAGTATGGGTTCGGCCATGCTGACCCCGCATGGGCCTGGTCAGCAGCTAATCGTCATCGCGGAGGAGCGGTAGAAGCGGGCTCGTCGCCATATTCTCGCGGCGCGAGTTCGAGGCGCCCGTCCCGCCGTCCGCAGCATGCCACACCCGGATCATCTTGTCCCACGACCACGAATTCAGGACAGACAGCTGGCCATTCGCACTCGACAGCGCAATCACACCGTGCACACCAATGCTGGTGCCTGGTTGGTGGCAGGATATACCACCGCGCAGTCATCAAGCTCCTTATCGCCCGGCAGCACAGGCAAGGTTTGCGACTGTGACCCGTTCCACGATGCAATAGGCAGCAGCGCAGGTAGAAGTTGTGCCGCCAACAGAGATGCCGGCGCCTGCTCGTCAAACTCGTCTCCGGGACCGAGATCATAAGTTGCGACACATGCAAGCTCAACGTCGACTTCTCCCGCTGTCGAGGCGCCCCGCTGCGTCAAGCACGGCGCGCGTTCCGGTCGAGTGCGGCGCGGTCGAGCGCAGCGCCAACGGCTGCGTCGAGCAGCGCCTCCTCTTCGACGCAGGGCTCTGTTGCGCGCACAAGCCAGGGGATTTGGGAAAAGCGCATTCAGCGCGCCGCCGCGACGCGCGAGGCCTTGCTCGAGATCGTGGGTAACACAATGACGAGCCGGTAAATCCGTCCGCCAGCCTCGACGCATTCAGGAGCGCCACCGAGCCTCCCCACCGCGCCCTATCATGAGCTGGTAGTCAACATCTTGTGCCACGTCGGATGGGCGCCCTTACTATTGAACACCGCCACCCTCACTTCGCCGCCCACGAGTACATACTCTGGTACCGCGATGTGCCAGCAGCCCCGCCCGCCCAGCGCCGCCACCCGCCCGCACTTCAAACGCGCGAAGAGGTTGTGATGGGCAAGGCCGGAGGAGGGAGGGGAGGAGTGGGTTGGAGGGCAAACTAGTAGTCATTGTCATTACTGTGGCTATCTCTATGCATCGTCTCCAATGCCCTGTAGATAGCTAGCTTGCTCTCGGTGGTGCCGGCGGTGGTCGGTGGGCGGCGGGCGGCGGTCAGCGGCGAGCAGCCGGCGGTCGGCAGCGATGCTGTTGACGGGCTGGCGTCGGCTGATGTGCGTATCAGGGCAAGTGAAGTGGATCGGTATGTTTGCAGGTATGGTACGTATGTGTGGTGTGGATGTGGTGATTGTGGATGGAGATGGTGGGGAGTGGGGGTCGGAGATGGGCCCGGGGCGGGGTGGTCAGCAGCATCGAAGGGACACAGGGCCAACAGCTTAGGCCCGAGCCGGCGGAACTCGGATTCTGGAATACTGCAGTTGTAGATTGGAGACTGTGCCTGGGGTAGTGTGGGCGTGTAGTAGAGTAGTAGTCAAATCAGATTGGTCATATCTTGCAATGGGGTTAGTGGGGGGCGTGTGCGGGGTCGAGCGGACGAGGGCGTGCTCAACCACCTAGGGAGAACAAGTCGACGCGAAAGTGAGCCGAGGTGGATGAGTATCGATGACAGCGATATTGATACTGGTGATAGTACGCGGTGAGTGATGACCTTGGGCGTGGTCGTGGATGGCGTACCTGGTGGTGGGAAGGAGCTAGGTGGTCATGAAGGTGGGCCTGATCGGGCGAGCGGGCGGCGGCTGGCGGCTGGTGGTCGGCGAGGAGGGGACAGCTGAGGGGGCTGGGTCGGGGCTGGGTGGCTTGACATTGCTGTTGGTTGGAGATTGGGCAGAAAGGTATTTGGTGGTTGACGGATGGCAGTGTCGGGGTCGGGGGATGAGGATGGGGGTGACGTAGAGCGGGGAGAGGAGGAGGAGGAGGAAGAGGAAGCCGAGTGCGCGATGGGATGGTGGTGAGGATGGCCATGGCATGGGGGTGGGAGTTGTGGCTGGGATGGAAGTGATGGTGGTGAGTTAGGGGGTGAGGGTGGTGGTTGGGGTGACGGGTGGTAATGAGTATGGTAGGGGGGATGAGGGGGGTCGTGATGTGGGAGGCGGGACGGGCGAAGTGATAGTGGGTATGGCGATTGGGCTTGAGCATTGATGAAGGTGAGTATGATACGGCTGATGGGTGTGTGTGGGGTGTGGTTGATGAGGGTGGAGGGGCTTGGGCGGCAAGTGTGAGGAGGGCGGACGGATTGGATTGAGATGGACGTCGATGGAGACGATGGCTTGGGATTGGACAGGGAGGCAGACCACTGCACTGTAGTCCACCACTGCATTGCCTATCGCTTGCCCTTGCCCCCTCTTGTTCTTCCTTGTCTTGGCCAGCCCGGTGTCTTCGTCGTCTGGCTCGGTGATCGGCAGCAGGGGCGGCGGGCGATGAGCAGGCCGGCGCGGGCTGTGATGGGCAAGGCCGGAGTAGGGAGTGGAGAAGTGGATTGGAAAGCAGACTGTTAGTCATTGCTATTGATGTGGCTATCCGTATGCATCGTCTCCAATGTCCTGTCGATGGCTAGCTTGATCTCGGTGGTGCCGGCGGTGGTCGGTCGGCGGCGGGCGGCGGTCAGCGGCGAGCAGCTGGCGGTCGGCAGCGATGCTGTTGACGGGATGGCGTCGGCTGATGTGAATATCGGCGGGCAGGGATTGGATGGATGAGGTTGCAGGGATAGTGGGTAGGTGTGGTGTGGGTGTGGTGGTTGTGGGTGAAGATGGTGGGGAGTGAGGGTCGGATATGGGCCCGGGGCAGGGGGGTGAGCACCTTCGAAGGGACACAGGGCCAACAACTTGGGCCTTAGCTGGCAGAACTCGGATTCTGGAATACTACAGCTATGGATTGGAGACTGTGCAAGGGGGTAGTGTGGGCGTGTAGTAGGGTGGTAGTGAAATCAGATTGGGCATATATTGCAATGAGATTGGTGGGGGGCATGTGCGGGGTCGGGCGGTCGAGGACGTGCTCAACCACCTAGGCAAAACAAGCCGACGCGAAAGTGAGCCGAGGTCGATGGGTATCGATGACGGCGATATTGATACTGGTGATAGTATGGGGCGAGTGATGATCTTGGGCGTGGTTGTGGGTTGTGTAGCTGGTAGTGGGAAGGAGCTAGGTGGTGGTGAAGGTGGGCTGATCGGGCGAGCGGGCGACGGCTGGTGGCTGGTGGTCAGCGAGGCGGGGACAGCTGAGGGGGATGGGACGAGGCTGGGAGGCTTGAGAATGCTGTTGGTTGGTGGATGGGCAGTGTGGCTGGTGATGGTTGAGGGGTATGGGTGTCGAGGTCGGGAATGA